CGGCGGACAAACCTATACTGGACTCCACGACTCTATTGTCAGTTTACTGGCAACCCCCGGCGCTAGAGCTAAACTAGCGCAAGATGCGCTAGTTAGTCGTTGGAGTCGAAGACTCCAAGACTTATAGGAGCGGAGGAATTTTTGGAAATGCGACTTCCCGGGCAGTTAGATATGCCTTTATATATATGGATCGACTCAGAATCGAATTCTGAACAACTTTCATTTTTTCTGTTGTCTGGATGTCTGTGTGTCTGTGTGTCTGGATGTCTGTGAATCTGTCATCAAATTTTTAAAAATTCATAACTGGAAAATGGTAAACGGTGGAAACTTGAAATTTAGACCCTTTTTTAACCCCCACAAGACGCAGCTCTCTTCCAAATTTGATTAGCGCAAGAAAGGTCCAAGTGCACTTTTTATCGATTTTTTCGACGAAATTTTGGGGTTTTTCCTATCCGGATTCTAGGTCAAAGGGATCGACGTAGAAAGACCAAATTTGCTGAAAAGGTGTACGAGGACCGTTCATTAAAGTGTATAGGATATGAGCTTTTCAGGCCTGCAACTTTCGAAAAAAAAATTTTTTTTCGATTTTTTCAGGAATTTTTTGAAAATTTTTTTTTTGAAAACTAAGAAGACTTTAAGTAAACGAAAATTACGAATAGATGTGCAAAGGATTGTTATTTAACATACTAAAAAATAAAAATCATGGAAACAAACTAACATGGCCTACTGCTCAATTTAATTTTTTTTGGTTTTTTAAAAAATGCAATCAATTTTTAATTAATTTTTTTATCCTGTTTCTAAATATATTTTTTTAAATTTGACCAAACATGAAGGTAAACTACATTCTTATAAATTGATTTGCCATAAAAAAATATTAAATTTTTTTCCTCTTCTTCTTCTGCGATTTATTTTACAAAATCATTAATATCTCTTGTGCTATAATAGATGGCGACTTCAAATTTGGCAACAATGTGTAGGCTCATGGTGCAAATGTCCCCTTAAAAAACTATCAAAATCAAAAAACGATTTGGACATTTTTTTCAAAAATTCGTCAATTTTTTTTATTTATTTTTTTAAATTCCCTTTTTGATGCAGACAATTTAATTTTAGCAAGACAATGTATATCACATTAAAAAAAGATATTTTTATAACAAATCGTTTGGTGAAAGCAGCATAGGTGTATCTTTATTAGTTTTCTAGATATGATTTTTTTAATTTCAAAAGTTGTCGGTTTTTTATTTAATTTTCAGTTTTTCGGCAGAAATCTTTATTTTAGCAAGATCATGTATACGACATTAAAAAAAGACATTTTTATGGAGAATTTTTTGGTGAAAACCGCGTAAGATTATCTCTGTTGGTTTTCGAGATATGATTTTTTTTAATTCAAAATTTAAGAAACGTCAAAATCTGACGTTTCTTCCATGTACATTTTTACATCCATAAGTTATGGACCATAACTCGCTTAATTTACGGCCGAGAAAAAATTCCTTCACTAAATTTGTGTAAAATAACTTCCTCTGGAAAACCAAAAAGAAAAAAATCAAAAATTTTGAAAATTACGGAAAATTATTTTTTAGGCATTTTTTCCAAATGAAATACCCGTTTTTATGCGTTTTTGGGCATAACTCGGTCAATTTTGGCCCGATCAGGCTGAAATTTTAAACGTTTGCTCTCACACGGACACCAGTGAGGCCGGTAATGTAAAACCGGAAGATTTCCGGAAAACTAGGAAATGGATTTTTCAGCTGTTTTAACAAACGTCAGATTTGACGTAATTACATTTGCTCGCGATTAGCGATACCTGTGTCCCAAGAATAAAAAATAAATCATTTATTTAACGCAAATACACGCGCGACAGCGCGAATTTATGCGCGATAGCGCAAATGTACGCGCGCGAGCCCGAATTCAAAGAATTTTGGTTGTTTTTAAAATACGACATTCAAACAAAAAATATTCGGCTATTTCCGGAGTGTCATCGGTAAGTTATTTTTTGAAATATTTAAAACTTTTCACACCTTTAATTCAGTCGTTGCACATAAAGTTTATAACTACATATGCGCGATAACGCAAATACATGCGCGATAGCGCAAATACGTGCGCGATAGCGCAAATACATGCGCGACAGCGCAAAAACATGCGCGATAGCGCAAATACAGGCGCGACAGCGCAAATGTACGCGCGCGAGCCCGATTTCACAGCATTTTGGTTGTTTTTTAAAATAAGAACTTCAAATAAAATATTCGGCTATTTCCGAGATGTGATCGGTAAGTTATTTTTTCTTATTCTTTTTGGTACGATTTTTTGTTATTAAAATATTGCCGCTTTTTTGGGAACTTCATTTTGAGACAAAAAACTTTACTTTAGCAAGATAAATATACCTATATGACATTTACAAGGCGCAAGTACATGCGCGACAGCGCAAAAACACGCGCGATAGCGCAAATACACTCGCGATAGCGCAAATTTACCCGCGCGAGTTCGAATACAAATAATATTGTCTGTTTTTTTGTATTTTAAATGTATATGACATAAACAGAAGCCATTTTTATGACAACTCATTTTGTAAAAACAAAACAAGTCCATCTTTATTTGTTTTTAGGATATAAGCGAACACACACAAGTGCGCGCGAGCGCAAATATATGCGCGATAGCGCAAATGTACCCCTGCGAGCCTGAATAAACAGAAACTTGTGTGTTCTTTTATAATTTAAATGTAAATTATTTGTCTGTTTCCAAAGTGTTCTCAGTATATATTTTTTAATTTTTTTAACAATAATACCTAAATTCCTGGGTCTTCAAAATCTACCTCTAAAATATTATCCAAACTTTGTTTTAGAACCATTTTCAAAAAATGTGCAAATTCGCAATTGTAACAAATAGCAGAATAGAGGCGCGCAGCGCCGATTTTTATATTATATATTTTTTATTTTGACCATAATTATTTTGAGACTTTTTTAATTAAAATTTAAGATAAGATTTTTTTGTAATCAAAAAATTGATGCTTTTTTGTAAAAACCAAACAAATCCATCTTAATTTGTTTTTGGGATATCTTTTTTTTAAATTAAAACATTGAAGCTTTTTTTAAACTTTACTTTAGCAAGATAAATGTATATAATATTTAAAAGGCGCAAATACATGCGCGACAGCGCAAATACATGCGCGACAGCGCAAAAACATGCGCGATAGCGCAAATACAGGCGCGACAGCGCAAATGTACGCGCGCGAGCCCGATTTCACAGCATTTTGGTTGTTTTTTAAAATAAGAACTTCAAATAAAAATATTCGGCTATTTCCGGAGTGTCATCGGTAAGTTATTTTTTTTTAAATTGTAAGCATTAAAAACTAATTTCCACACTTTTAATTCCAAGTTTATACTTGCATGTATACATATGCGCGATAGCGCAAATAAAGGCGCAATAGCGCAAATTTACGCGCGCGAGCCTTAATAAACAAAAAATGTTGTTTGTTCTTTAAAATTAAACCTTCAAACAAAAAATAGTTGGAGTGCCATCAGTAATTTATTTTTTTTTTATATTTTAAACAATAATAACGTTTTTCTGAGTCTTCAAAAATTAACACTAAAATATTATCAAAAAAATAACAGAATAGAGGCGCGCAGCGCCGATTTCTATATTTTAATAAATTTTTTTTGACCGTAATTGTTTTAAGGCAATTTCTTTTTATAAATTTGTTTTTTTAACTAAAAAATTTACACTTCTTTTTGAAAATACCAAATTTACAAAAACTTTACTTTAGCAAGATAAATGTATATATCATTAAAAATAGGCAAATACAGGCGCGACAGCGCATATATACTCGCGATAGCGCAAATGTACGCGCGCCACCTCGAATACAAATAATATTGTCTGTTTTTTTGTCATTTAAATGTATAACATAAACAGAAGGTATTTTTTTATTAAATAATTTTGTGAAAACAAAACAAATCATTCTTTATTTGTTTTTGGGATACTTTTTAAAATTCTTATTTGAAGCAAATAACTTTTCTTTAGCAAGATAAATTTATATAACATCTAAAAGGCGCGAACCATGCGCGACAGCGCAAATATATGCGCGCGAGCCCGAATAAAAATTGTATTGTCGGTTTTTTTCTAATTTAAATTTTTTATAGAAACAAAACAAGTTTATTTTTCTTTGTTTTTGGGATATATATTTTTTTATTTATAAAATTGATGCTTTTTTGAGATTTTTTATTTAAGGCAGATAACTTTACTTTAGCAAGATAAATGTATATGACATTTAAAAGGCGCAAGCATATGCGCGATAGCGCAAATACACGCGCGATAGCGCAAATGTACGCGCGCGAGCCCGAATACACAGACTATTGTTTGTTCTTTTGTAATTTAAAACGATATATTTATGAGGATTCCTGTGGTGAAAACACCCAAGTCCAGCATAATTAATTTTTACGATATGATTGTTTTAATATTGTACTATAATAAACAGTCACTATCGGCGGACAAACCTATACTGGACTCCACGACTCTATTGTCAGTTTACTGGCAACCCCCGGCGCTAGAGCTAAACTAGCGCAAGATGCGCTAGTTTAATAACATTTGGAACATTTCGATTGATATAAATTTGAAGAAAATTACGCTATTAGGTACGCATGGAATTGCCCATCTCCGTTAGTATGCATTTTTGAAAAATGTTTTTGGGTTTGTTTTTATTGTTTTTTCAGGCTCTATCGATCATTAAAATTTTTCAGATTAATCCTGGACCACCCTGTATGTATAAACATAAATTATATTTATTTATCAATTAAGAAATAATATTTATATAAAGTTTTGGTCTTTATTTCTCCCAATAGCATGTTAGAAACAAAACTAAAGGATCAAACATTACACTATTATAAAAAACACTTTAGCACAATTACAATTTTGTAAAAAATTTAGGAAAATTAATTTGTCGTTTACATTTAAATAATGAACCATGAACTCCCACGGAAATCCTACATAGGTATAATTATTTATTATTTCAGAAATCATGAGGATATATTTGTGGACTTTCCCCTTACTCTTGGCCTTATCAAAAGCCGATAATCCCCCTTTTGATTCAGCTTTAAAGGCAGTATTTAGCGTAGGAGTAAAACTCCAAGCATTACTAGATGACGACACGTCAAACTCAAATTTCCTTATTTCTCCCATAAGCATAACATCCCTTATTGGCCAATTAATGATAGGGGCAGAAGGTGAATTTAGGGACAACCTTTTCCAACTTCTTTCGCTTGACAAAACCGACATACAGAAAGAGTCCAGTTTAAATTTGTATTCCGAGAAGAAAAACGGTTCTTTAAGGCTGCCCTATTCAAAATTTCATTTGGAAATGTACAGTTTGATAAAACATCTACAGAGAGGATACAAAGGAAACAACGAACTGTTTACGTTGGAACAGAGTAATGCGATATTTTATGATCAAAAGTTGAAATTGACTCAGGAATTTAGACATTACTCTAAATTGTTTTACAATTCTCAATTGACTGGTCTTGACTTTGTCGGAGCTCCTAGAGAAGCACAAAAGTAAGTACAACTTGTTTTCCAGCATTTCAAACCTATACCTATAAAGTACAAAACTGTAAAAAAAATAAAAGAAAATAAACTTTTTCTTTTATTTTTTTTATACAATTTTAAGAAAGTAAAAATTACTATGTGCCACATTATTATTATTATACCCACATTATGTGGGTATGTGGGCCACATAGTAACTATGTGAGTATAATAATTTATCTGGAGTATAATAATTTATCTGGAGATTAATTATGCACGAGAGGAGCTCTTACTTACCGTTTACCGCACAGAGTTCAACAGACTTTTAAAATACAGGCAATTTTAAGAGCTATGTTTTATAAAAGAGTAAGATCATCTCAAGTGGACCCCCCATTTACCACTTGATCGTGGAATTCAAATAAATATATTTTAATATAAAGCAGTCACCATCAATAATGAAACCCTAAAAAATGTTTTTGGAAAATAATCATTTTAACAACAATTTTTTTTACAATGAAAATTTTGGAGACTTTTAATTAAAAAATAGATAACAGCAAAACCGTTAGAGATATTTTATTGAAATGTTCAGGATTTATTGTTTAATATTCACATTTTGAAAAATAATTTAAAATTTAAAATTATTTATTTATTATCATATTTAAATTATAAATTTGTTTTATTTCAGTTACATGAATTGTATACACTTAAGTTAAATATTCTGCAAGAAAATTCCACTGCCCGCTATTAGTTTAAACATTATGAATTTATTTATCCCCAAACACGAGCCCTTTCAGTATAGCGCGCTACCGCGCGCCGTAGACTCGGCATCCGCTCCATCCGCTCCAATCAGTATTAATAAATAATAAACTATCCTTTACAATAAAAAACAGTGTTATTTAATTTTAATTTATTAATTTCATAATTATAATTATAACAAATGGATATTATATTTGTTTTTAAATATAAATAAAGACTAAAAATGAACAAATAATTAAATGAGACATACATGTCCCATAGCGAGATACTTTTTTTATTGTTTTTTTTAATTATCTCCATTTGTTTTTTATGTATAAACGTAAATAACAAATGAATTTTACAAGCCATTTGTTAAATAAGTTAATTAATATTAAACACAAGAATTTTAATTTTGTAGATTTGCGTTTAACTATTTCATTAATTAATTAACTTTATAATTTTTATTAATATTTATTATATTATGGGCCGGGTGAATAAATGCTGTAATCCTTTTAAAAATTACGTGATAATTTTAGAAAAAATTACTTATGACACAAGCTCAGTTTATTTTTTAATATAAAGTTAATTGAAAAATATATTTGGAGCAAATAATATTAAAAAATTTCTAACTTTTCTGACGGAGCAGGTTCTCAGTATAAAATAAGGAGCATGTGATGGCTTATGAGGAGCATGTGATGGCTTATGATGAAGCGTGAAAAGACGAGATTATCGTGCTAGTCATTATTTAAATTTGCTCTTAAGAGGGACGTGATTCTCATGAACAAAAATACAAACTACGTTTTCAACAATCTGTTACTATAAAAATTACCCGCCACTTTCACTATTTATACTTTATAACGATATAGACGGTGTATCACTTCAGTGTAAATTTTTTTCGGAAGATACAAAAATTTAAACTATTACAATTTTTAAGAAAAAATAAATAATAAGTAACATGCTGCAGGAAAATGTATGTTTCATTTAATTATTTGTTAATTTGTATAGTCTTTATTTATAAATACAAACAAATATTATATCTATTTGCTATAAATTATTTAAAAAAAGTTTAATTTTTTAAATAACATTGTTTCTTATTGTAAAAGACAGTTTATTTTCTATAAATACTAATTGGAGGGTGGCCGTGTCTACGGCGCGCGGCATGCCGCGGCAGCGCACTTTACCGACAGCGATCGCGTTTGGGGATAAATAAATTCATATTGTTTAAACTAAAAGCGGTCAGTGAAATTTTCTTGCAGAATATTTAACTTAAGTGTACAATGCATGTAACTGAAAAAAAACCAAATTTATAATTTGAGGGAAGTCATTAAAATTTTAAGTTAATAAAAAATATGATACTAATTAAATAATATCAAATTTTGAATTATTTTTCAAAATGAGAATTAATCTTAAAAATTTCATTAAAATACCTCTAAAGGTTTTTCTGTCATCTATTTTTTAATTAAAAGTCTCCAAAATTTTCCAAAATTTTCATTGTAAAAAAAATTGTTGAAAATTTTAACTTGCTTGTAAAATTCATTTGTTATTTACGTTTATATATAAAAATAAATAATTTAAAATTTTGAATTGTTTTTTAAAATGTGAATATTAAACAATAAATCCTGAAAATTTCATTAAAATATCTCTAACGGTTTTTCTGTTATCTATTTTTTAATTAAAAGTCTCTATAATTTTCATGTTAAAAAAATTGTTCCTAAAATGAAAATTTAAAAAAACTGTTTGAGGGTTTTACTATTGAAAGTGACTGCTTTATATTAAAATATATTAATTTAAATTCCACGATCAAGTGGGAAATGGGGGGTCCACTTAACGTGATCTTACTCAAAACCTATTTTGCTTACAACTGTACCCTTACTTGAATATAAAACGCAACAACTTTTTGATTGATTGATTTTCTCCTGGGGTAAGAACCATTTGCCATGTTTTAGTTAACAAATTATAAGGCAGAAAATGGTATTTTTAAAGAAACGTCGAAATGTTGTAGATTGTCCAGCCTACACTGCAGGCCCATATATCAATTTCAAAAGTCAGTAAATGGTCATTTTATAGTAGATTTCATAAGCTAAAAGTGACGCACAAGAGTTACTTATATAAGTATAAGTAACTCTTATAATTGTAGTTGTCACTCACTCCACAGTCAGTCCTGGTTCCCCAGAACTTCACTTTCTTGATTCAGCATCTTGTAACAAGGTTTTTCAAATATATTTAAGCCACATGTGGCTGGAGCGCATCGGTGAGCAAAATAGGTTTTATAAAAAAATGTTGCTCTAAATTACCAGTATTTTTAAGAGTCTGTTCGCCTCTGTGCGACAAACGGTTAACTTAATAAATAATGATTTAAAAAAACCTTGGGGGTTGTTCATATCAATCTGAAAACCAAAATACATAATATAATATTAATATTATTAATATTCAATTTATGTTCCCACATAACACAAAAATATATTTAAAATATTAAATGATTATTTTTGGTAAATAAACTAAATGTTTTAGAAATTGGTCATTATCATCGTAAATGCCTCAAAAATGTTTTTACAACATTTAGATCATCTAAATTAGATGTCCCACTTTTTATATTTAGGTACCTATAGAATATTTTTTCACAAAATTTTTGTAAATGTTTTATATTTAGGTATATTTTATTAATGTTTCCTAAACATCACAAAAATATTTTAAATTTATTTACAGTTTATTGCATATTTATATCATATCATCCGATACTTTTTGTATACTGAATTTTGTCGTTTTGGAGTGCAAAAAGTAGATGTGGTATGGTGTTCTCGTACGAGAAAAATAGATCTCCAGCTATAATCTGTGAATGGTAATCCACTGTTTTAGTATATGTGATACGTATCACATATACTAAAACAGTGGATTACCATTCACAGATTATAGCTGGAGATCTATTTTTTACACTCTAAAAATACAAGAAAATTTAGACTAAATTATTTAGTACATGTCTTAATAAAAAATATTTAAAAAAAAAAGTTTATTTTAGAAATAGTCGATATACCTAAATAAAAGTAAAATATGTAAAACAAAAATTCTTTGGAAAAATCACAGAAATAAAAGAATATTTTTCTTCCTTTCCTTTTTAAGTTTCTTTTTTACTTCCATTTTCTAAATTTTGCTTGAGTCAGCCATTGTCGTAACTTTTTCCGGATGGAAGCCAACAAGAATTTAATTTAAATTAAAGTCTTTTGTTCAACCCCGCTCGGGAAAATTACTTTTTTTGTATTTAAAAATTAAAAAACAAAAATATGTTTGGTTTTCTAAGGGATTTTATTAGGTTTATGTTTGTTTTTTGTTAATAAGAAATTTACCGATAGAATAATCATCTTCAATAGGGTGGCAATAAAATTTTAAGGTACTTCCGCGGTTCAGTACACTGCCATTCATAAATAGCAATAATAATCTAAACAATAAAAATAAATACCTATAATACATACCTCTAGCAGGAATGATTATCTGGATAATTTATTATTTTAACTTGGCGTCGCACTTGAAATACACTCAACAAAGTAAGAATGGCCGAACTGACGCTGATTTGTGGATGACTTTAGCGGCCTAGCCTCAGACAACAGATACCTTTTTATTGGGAGGGCGCTTACATCAGAAAACTTTTAATGAACTTTTCAAGAAGTTTATAAATATTGTTAATTAACAACAAAATTTAGGAAATAATATTTACAAAAAATTGCGAAATAAATGTTTAAAAATATTTACGTGATATTTATGAATGTTTCAGAAATATTTATGCGAAACAGTTATAAAAATATTTCGTACAACATTTCATCAACCTTTCATTTATAAATATTGCTCTCCAAACGGCCTGACAACATTTTTAAAACATATTGTGTTATGTGGGTTATTTCGATTAAAAAAATAAAATTCCAACCGGTATAAAAGTATTGGATTCCCTTTATAAAATCTTAAACTTTTATACATCTGACAACTGTCGGTTTTAACCTCGCTTTTTACCAATCTGACATCTGTCAAACGGTTTTAACCTCACTTTTTTCAATTTAATGCGCTATAGCGCATTTAGATACTAGGATTTTATGCACTGTAGTGCATAAAATACTAGTACCTAAATTACATGTACATTCGTATATAATTTTTTTTAGAACTCTAAACGAATGGACGGCCCTTCATACCCAAGGACTGATAAAAACTATATTTCCAGCCCCACCCCCAGCCTATACTTCTGCCATTTTTCTAAATGCCATCTACTTTTTGGCCGAATGGGAAATACCATTTAGCGACGAATTAAACCGTGTCGGCAATTTCAACGTAAACGAAAATGTTACCGTAAACGCCACCTATATGTTAGGCACCATAGAACAAATCCCTTACATCGAAACCGACGAATATAAAATGATTGCGTTGCCTTATAAAAACGATGAGCTGGAAATGTTTATTATGTTACCTAGTAAAGACAGCGAGTATAGCTACGATATAAGAAAATTCGCGCAGTCTTTGAATGCTACCGACATTTTATCATCGATTGAAAGATCTAAAAAGAAGGACGTTATCGTAAAAATACCTAAAATGACGCTGTCTACAAGCGTGAGCGTACTGCAACCTCTCTTAAAGTATCAAGCATCCAAAATGAAAGCCGTAGAAAATAACACTGTAACAAAGGAGATATATCCCGACATAATCCTATCTGGCGCAGTCGAAGACGGAAACCTACGGGTAAATGATATAGTGCAAGAAATGGTGTTTTCAATTAACGAAAAAGGGACTGAGGCAGCCGCCGTAGCCATAGGTACAGTAGATTACATCGGAGGACAGAAAAGGTTTTTGGCAGATAGACCGTTTGTGTTTTTTATAAGGCACAAGTCAACCACGGCAACGCTGTTTTGGGGCACTATTGCTGATCCGTCGTAGAGACATTTTGTCCGCTATTTATAGCTTTAATTTATTTTAGGTGTAGAAATAAACGTTAAAATATTTATCCACTTTTATTAATAATTAAATTTATAATAAACTTCAGGCCATGACTAAAAAGCCAGAAAGCCACTGTTGTCAACTTTACCCTGCGACTAGTTTTATAAAACGCTATAGTCAGAGCTTGTCAATGTGAAAGAAGATAATAGTATCCCAAGCAACAATTTAAGTATTTGTTACGTATATGGGACTATTGAAGAAACTTCAAAGTGTTTTGCGACAGTCGCCGGTCTCTTTATATTACTCTTTCATTACTTAGTAATGAAAGAGTATACGTATACGTTACGACTAAAGTGGGGAACAATTATTGAGTTCCAAAAAGGTAGCAGTGACATATATGTCACTAGCTACCAACCCTGCTACTATTTGGGACGTAGCTGCTACGTTACTAGAACGTTCCAATATCGTTGCTAGAGCGTTATAATTACTTTTATTATTTGTTTTGACTTCTATATTAACTGTCTTTGTCAAACTTATATTAGATTATACTATCCCTCCTTTTTTAAATGGAACCACTACGGACTTGGCTTTTCAATGTCGTCGTTTATTAAATATGTACTGGTAGTTTATAACTTCCAGAATAACAATATAATGTTTAATTAGACAGGTAGATTTAAAAACCCTTTAAATTTTACTGTTGAACTTATGAATTTAGTTTTTGTAAAATAAATGCGCTTCATCAATATTTAAGTATAAACAAATTATTTATTTAGTAATGTTTATAAATAAAAAAATCTTAATATTTATTATTATTTTTTTTATTTAATTATTAATACCGTCTATTACCAACAATATTTCTATTTATTAAAAAGTAAACAACCATTTACAAACAATTAAAATAATTTATTATTTACATTACCACGTGGTACTGTACAGTAAAAAATGGCCGATAAGAAGCATTTTCCTTTGAAGTAGTTTTCGCTACTTTAAAGTTTTTTTCCACTTTACGGTTGTTTTGGTTAGTACCATAAACGTTCCAAATACTAAAATATAACTTTTAAGTTATTAACTTTGTAGTTTTTAACTCATGTTCCAGTTTCGAGATTTTAACTTGCAAAGGGACTACAAAGTAAAAATAATTATAATGTAATCTTTAGGTAGCAACCGAAAGTAACTGCTACAAATTAAATTTACTTGAAAGTTTTTTTTACTTATAACATCTTTTTTAAAGTTGCAAAGTCTTCTAGGGGTCTTCTTAAATGTTTATTACTTTATAGTAACAATTTAAGGAAAAATTAAGTTTCTGTTACAAAATATTGCTATTTAAAAGTTAGAATTACTTTTAAGTAAAAATTAAAGTAGCTGTTTAGTATACTTAACTAATTTAAAGTTATCACCACTTTGGCAATGGTTTTTGGAACCAAAAATGCTGCTTGGGATATTAGTATCAAGTTTAATAAACGCTATTTTAGTCAATAATTTTAACTGGACAAGAGCGAAGCTTTCCAGAACAAATATAAAAAATAATGTATTAGTATTAAATTGAAATGTTTGTAAAGAGCGACATCTATATAAAAATAGAGTAGCCTAAATTGGTGTTAGGAATCTGTTTTACCGGCATTCAAAATGGCAGTGTTGGCGTGTCAATTTTTTTTAATCGAAATTTATCCATTTAAAGCAACGGTTGGCAAAACGCGGCCCGTGAATGCTTTGTAAACAGCTGTCCCTAGGGGACAGAAAACCGGACCGGAACCGGTATTTATTTGTGTACCGGAACTCTAGAAACCGAACCCGAACCCTTTAAATTTATAACGGGTTTTTAGGTTATTTTCGGTTTTTTTCTTAATTTCTTTTTGCAAAAATTTTAAAAAAAATTTGTTTCGTTAAAAAATGTATAAAATTAGTTTTTGCAAAAAAATATTTGAGCACGGGCTATAAATCTATAAATTGTTAGTATTCCTGCAGTCCCGGACAATAATCGGGATTTCCTGGTATCACAACGTGATTTTTTTTATCACGCTGTGATATCCTGAGTGCATACACATGCTTCATCACAGTGATATCATGTAGAACTCACGCTGAAAAATTTGCGCATGCGTATGAGCCCTGCGAACTGCGAATTTAAAACCTACCCGGACAACATTCGTGATATTCATACGAACAATACGTCGTGATTTTCACAAATTTTATTCATACTGATATCATACGGAAGTCACCGGGTAATAAATGAAAGTCATACGAACGTCACGTCGTGATTTTCACAAATTTTGTTCATACGGACATCATCCGGATGTTACTGCGTGAGAAATGAAAATCATGTCGTGATTTTTTATGCCAACGGTGTTTGCATAATCATTTTTGCGCCACGTTCGTACACTAAGAGAAAAATTATGTTGAATCAACAGTTTTTGCGGTTAAATTCATTTAATATTTTTTTGATTCAATATACATATATTTAGGTATACTTTTTCTCTCAATATACGAATGTGGCACAAAAATAAATATCCAAACACCGATGGCATAAAAAATCACGACATGATTTTTTATGCCATCGGTGTTTGGATATTTATTTTTGCGACACATTCGTACATTGAAAGAAAAAGTATGTTAACAATTGAATCAACAGTTTAACATTCAACTATACAGTGTGTCGCACTTAAGATGAAGACACCCCCATATTTTCGCTATTTGAAGGAATAAAGGTTTGAATTTTTTCACATTCATACATGTTGATGGTTCACATTTTTTAAGCTACTCAACTGAAATCTGAACTTTAAACTTGGCCTACTACAAATTCACAAACAGCCCTAGGGCCAGTTGTCGATATTTTGCTTCGCGTTAGAAATATCGAAAAAAATTATTAGAAAAAGTTGTTCAGAATATTATTCTAACCCCGTACACCGATTTTCATAGCAAAATTCGTTTTTCTAATTTATTTATTTTTATTAATTTTTATTATTGTTTTATACCATTTACTTAATTTAATAAATATAGTTCATTTAAATCCAAGAAAATATTAAATGTATTTAACCGCAAAAACTGTTGATTTAACATATTTTTTCTCTTTGTGTACGAACGTGGCGCAAAAATGATTATCCAAACACCGTTGGCATAAAACATGATTTTTTAGGCCATCGGTCAATCGCAAACAGCGATGGCATAAAAAATCACGACATGATTTTCATTTCTCTCGTAGTGACATCCGTATGATGTCCGTATGAACAAAATTTGTGAAAATCACGACGTGACGTTCGTATGGTTTTCATTTATCACGCGGTGACTTCCGTATGATATCAGTATGAATAAAATTTGTGAAAATCACGACATGATGTTCGTATGAATATCACGAATGTTGTCCGGGGTGTTAATACCAATTGTAAATGTAAATTAAAATAACTTTATTTACTTACCCCAACAAGATCAAACATAAAAGTGAGACATAAAAGTGAGAACCAACAAAATGATTGAAAAAAACTTATTTTAAATATGAATTTTCCAGTTTTTCAATCGCAAGATCAGAAGAAAAAGATAAAGTTAGCAAGCCGATCGAGAATAAAAGTAAAAAAAAAGAGAATGAAGCGCCTAAAATTGAAAAACCTGATTTTTAAAAAAGAATAGAGAAGCAATTTAATTAAATGGCAAAAAAAAAATTACAAATAAAATAAATTTTTCATTTTATAATTTTACTTATTTATACCAACATGGTAAAAAAAATTGGAACCGAAAAAAACCGTACGGTTGTTCCGAACCGGACAGAAATATTTTTTTTGGAACCGTAACTGAATCCGAACCGAAATTTGTCGTTTCTCACGGAACCGGACAGAAACCGTTATTTGGGTCCAGGTCCCTGTTTGTAAATAAGTTATAAATATCAAATTAAATGCATTAATTAATGAGTAAGCGCGCCTTTTAAGAACGCGCTTCGCCTTGTCCGCGAACGAACAAATGAGCCCTTGCCTGCCAAAAGGTTGCCGACCGCTGCTTAAAAGGATAAGGATGTTTTATGGGTACAACACCCGAAAATTTTAATGTTTTATCGGCAAATACTAGTTGCTGCCGGCGAAATGAAAAGGTCAGTACAAACATACATATTAACTTTTCAAAGATTGGCGTCAAGAAACTTTTTAATAATTTTGTATTAGGATAATAAAATTATTTTAAAATTTAGTATTTTACAGGGGTACTTTATTTTGACCTTGAAGTACTAGATACCATTGAAATGCCAGACTGCAAAATTCATTCGTAATTCTTAAAACGCCTTAAACTGCGTCCAGTTTGATCTCCAGGTTTCTAGTACTACATGATTTTGAAATTTTACAACTGCAGTCCACTAGCTTAAAGCTTACTTCGGCCCGTGACAGCTTGTTAATGTGAAAAGATCATAGAAATATGTACTATAATTGGCGTTTTAAAGTTGGGAGTGAAAAAAGTAATAAATTTTGAAAAAAGTTTATTCTTTAAGTAAAACAAAAACAATTATTTAACTGATAAACGCTTAAAATTACACATTTCGAAGGAAATTCTTGAGGAAGTTTGTAGATATTCCATAAAGAGATTTTGTAGAGAAGTGTATTCCTAAAACAAATTATATATTTTAGTTTTTTTTTGTTTTATTGGATTGTTGATTATTGGATATGGGAAGGTTTTGTTTAATATTTATTTATTTAAATATTGAAAAATAAATAAATATTATTTTTTAATAATTATTATTTTCCATTATGGGACATTCTAAGCGAAGCTAACAACAGAATTGATTTATATTGCACATAAATATTGTACACTTGTCTAAGCGCAAGAATAAATAATGCAATTACCATTTTAAAGGGTTGTTCCAAATTCACTTTGTTTTGTATCTCCAACTCCTTGATCAAATTTTGAATTGCGTATACCGGCATGCAAAAGGGTTTTGAAGTGTGAGCTAACGGGGCTGAAAATCCATACAACTCTTTACCATAACCCATAGCTGCCGATAAGTAGTCGCGCGCCATTGTTGCCGCTTCCTCCAGCCTACCGGAAGAATGAAGAATCTTAAGAAGCTCTCCAGGGTTTCTTTTCTAACAATACAAAATGTCAAATTGTTAATTAATTATTTTTATAAATAATCATTTGGTACCCACCTTGTATGATTCCATTAACCAGAACGGAACAAACATTTTCATCCCGATAATTTTCCTTAAAACAACACTGTGCAATGTTGTCATGTTGGGTTCCTCATAGGTTCTGAGACACTCTTGAAGTAATTGCCAGACAACGTCGGCAATGCAGTCTCTATTTACTGGAAGGTCTATAAAAACAAAAAATAGATACCTACTCATAAGGAGTAACAAGTTTTACCTTGAAGATCATTCTCAACCAACCAATCCCAAGCATTTGGATGGTCTTGCTCCGTAAGAAGAACGCAGTGTTTTGTGAGAGTATCGAAAACGCTTTCATATGGAACTTTAAAGTTAATGCATATTTTCAGTGCGGTTTTAAAAAGTCCCGCATTATTCAGCAACGATACTAATTCGTGGGGAGCTAAAATAAATCAAAAAATGTACCTAGCATATATAAAATAAATTGTTTTTATTTTAAACTTACTGGTAATATTCAAAGATGATCCAGAACTAAATCTGAGCAACTTTAATTTGGCACAAGCGAAAATAAGATCTTTTTTAATTATGTTTATATTCACCACTTCCACCTGCCTTTGCAATTTAATTTTCTGGAGATCCTAAAAAACATAAGTAAAATAAAAAAATACATAAAGCAAACTACAAAAAGTACTTCTACAGTTCCAGTTCCAGCCATTGGTTCTATAACAATCTCATCATCGCTCTCATCCGCATCGGTAGGTCTAGCTATCCAAGCGTGTTTAGGATCGCAAAGCTGTAGAATATTCTTTGCAGCCAAGTAACATTTTACCTGTTTTTCTAAAGCTTCAGTGGTGTTAAATTGTGTCAGCCTGAAGGCTTGTTCGTACATGACAGAGGCAGCTAAAATATTAATTTTAACATTTTGTAAAAATCAATCCAAAAGCCTAAAAATACCTAGCCTGTGACATAAAGGGCCTCTTTTAATTTGATAGGAATAAAGAAAATCGTAGTAAATATTGTTAACAGCATCAGTAGCTCTAGCTCTTGTCAGCAATATATTGGTGAAAAATTCGTCCATGCTTCCATATGTGAAGTTCAACAATGTATCCAGTTTTTTTTCATCTAACAAGCACTTTACCAAATCTCTTAAGTTATCTTTACGCCTTTCAACGTCCGGATTAGAATTTAACGAATCGAATGCTTTTTCATAATGTTTTAATGATAAATGATGCTTGAACTTAATGGAATATAAGGTTGCCTGAAATAGAAATGTTTTTTAAGGATTTTAAAATAGTGAGTTAATGGTAAATTAAATTAATTATAAAAAAGCCTTGTTATAGATAGTAAAAAAGTTTATCATTAATCTATAAAAATTAGTATTTTAAATAAAAAACAGCTGCAATTAGTATTTTCTAACAGTCATAAATTTCGTAAAGTCGTAAATCTTCAGATTCCCTTATAAAAAATGTGCTTTTAGTTTCGCAAACCTAATCAACAAAACTTTATACTAACCATGAGGGGGTCGTCTTTGTCCACTATGCTGAGCGCAGTATTGGCAACCCTTATGGCACAATCTTTAGCTTTGTGGAGTTCAAAGAGTTGAATAACTTTTATGTAGTAGGTAACGTATGCCTTTGTTTGGCTATCGTCGGCAGAACGATTTTTAAGAATGCGCTCGCTTAAAAATTTATCTAAAAATATTCCTTTAGCAGCCGTCTCGAACAACTCTTGGGCCTTGTAGTTTTCCCCGCTTGTTAGATAGGATGCGGCCAGCAAGAAGCTCCCTAAAAACGTATTTTTATTAACAATTTCAAATTAAAAGTACATATAGGCCAGTGAAAGCGAATTGGTTGAAATTAATAAAATAAAATAATAATTTATTTATTTATAAATTAATTAATTTATTTTAATTTGTTTTCAAGAGAATTATTCTATTTTTTTATTTTAGTTGTTAAAGAGAATTTTGTATGTTTAAACGTTTTTTTTATAAGAAAACACTTTTAGTTCAATGCAAAACAAATAATGAGCGCTCATATGTGCTCGAGCGCTTATAAATAAATGCTCGAGCATTTACCAAAGTGCTCGAGCATTTACCAAAGTGCTCGATATTTGAATTTGGCGCCAAAACTAAAAAGCCCGGTTATAAATTAACCAACAAATAACTACTGTTTACAGGTCACAAAATTGGTGCAGGTTTATCCAATTCCAAAATGGTTTACTTACCTCTATGTTGGAATTTTTTTTTAATAATTTTTTTTATAAAATTTATTTTTCATCGTTTATAAATGCTCGAGCATTTATGCCATCTACAGGGTGAGTCATTTAACTTGAAACTTTGAAATATCTCAGTTGGTATGCATTTTACGAAAAAATGTTTAAAATAAAAATTAAATGATTCGAGGGGGGAAATCAATCAGTACTAAAATTGGTCCTATAACTCTCTTCCTTATAGGGGGAACAGGGGGTATCTTTAAAATTTCCAATGGAACACCCAAATTCAGATCATTTGACTAAAAATAGGTAGATTTTGTCTAAAACATTTTTTCATATTTGTAATAGATGGCGCAGTAATGAAAAACTAATCAATTTTGTTCGATTTTTCTTCTTATACGATTCTGCGATAATTTTTCTATAAAAATATCACTAATATTTAAGTTTCTTTTGGTTTAATTATAATAATTATAATAATTTAAAGGATTATTGTATTATTTTTAATAAAAATACCTCATTTAAGGTAAAAAAACATTTTTGTCAGTGAGCTATAAAAAATGGCATTTAGTTAATAATAGAGTCAATCCAAATGAAAACACCAAAAATGAATTTAAAAGTGCGCTGCATTATTTTTTATTTAAATGAAAAAATTTGAGGATAATCTCTTAGGTATCATATTTGAAAAACAGTTGCCGTTTTAATTTTTAATTGCTTTATTTTTAATGGGCACCCTTTAGAAAACTGAAATCGTGTCATTTTCTTACTCTTTTATAAGAGGCTAAAACTTTTTTCTGTGGCAATTATTGAAATGATTGTAATTTTATTTTACTGCCTAGTAAGTATGTTTTCAATATTAATTATTATTATCTAATTAGTTCATCTCATAAAAGAATGGTAAACCACTAAAGATTTGTAATAATTTGACAATTTTTGTGATTTTTGTCTGGCTCCTGTGCCTGCTAAATCTAGAAAGTTGATTTTTTTCAGGTATCAAGTACTTATACAATAGAAAACGTAACTAATATTTTAAGTTTCTAGACTACCATTTTCTTTATTAAAAAAATTATTAAAACTTGATAATTTACAAAATTAGCCAATTTTGCCCTCAGAAATCATTATGTTGAGGAAAAAATAAAAATCTGAAACTTTCAGGAAATGTAGTCCCCACCTTCATCTTTTCAGTCTAGTTATTCTTGTTTTGTTATTTTTATCCATGTAAAAGATATAATAATCACAAAAATTGACAAATTATCATGAATCTTTAGTGGTTTACCATTCTTTTATGAGATTAACTAATTGGATAATAATAATTTATATCGAAAACACACTTACTGAACAGTAAAACAAAATTAAAATCATTTCAATATTTGTCACAGAAAAAAAGTTCTGGCTCACTATAAGAGAGTAAGAAATTGACACGATTTCAAATTTCTAAAGGGTGCCGATTAAAAGTAAAGAATCCAAAAATTAAAACGGCAACGGATTTTCATATGTGATACCTAAAAGATCATCCTCAATTTTTTTATCAACATAAAAAATCAAGCAGCGCACCCCATTTGGTGTTTTTATTTGGAATGACCCAATAGTTATTATTGAGGTATAAAGAAACTATTTATACATAGTTTAGCATTATTTAATCAATTTAGTTCGAAGATTAATACAGAAGAAAAATCGAACAAAATTGATTTTTTTTCATTAAAGCGCCATCTATTACAAATATGAAAAAATGTTTTAGACAAAATCTATCTATTTTTAGTCGAATGCTCCGAATCTGCAATACAAAATAGGGTGTTCCATTGGAAATTTTAAAGTTACTCCCTGTTTCCCCTATAAGTATGAGGACCAATTTTAGTACTGATTGATTTCCCCCCTCGAATCATTTAATTTTTATTTTAAACATTTTTTCGTAAAATGCATATTTACTAAGATATTTCAAAGTTTCAAGTTAAATGACTCACCCTGTATAGTTAAAAGTGATTACGTTACATTTTAAGTATCTGAATCCTTTTTAAAAGTAAATTAGCTTAATAATGCGTAATTCGTATTAATAATCCAGAGCAAACTTCGACTATCACCCAACGCCGGTAAAGGGTCTAATGCTTAATTACGAAAACCGTCTCTCGGGCCGAGAGTCTCGGCGTCTCCCACTCTTACAAATTATTCTCCCTCTAATAACCGAATGCAACCTGTCTACATGTAAAATGAAAATACGGCATGCAAAAAAACGCAACCTTTTTGGAAATTGGTTTTCTCCTTTTTACACCTTTTTTTAAGGTTTTTTAAATACATATATTTAAGCAATAGCGCATCGAAGAGCAAAATAGGTTTTATAAAAAATGTAGCTCCAAATTATGAGTGTGTTCGCCGCTGTGCGACAAACGGTTCATAAGTTATTAAAGAAAAACGTTAGGTGTTTTTTTAAGTTGGCGGGGCATACCGTCGCGGGTAGGTATTGCAATTTCTAGATCCCTCATCCAGCAATTCAGCTGGATCCAGCACCCGGTGCGGATCCGCAAATAATTTACTTTCCAAATAATGGCGCAAAAGTCTACGTTGATATCGTTGCCGCTTTGCTAGGTGCGCTAACGCCCAAACATCCTCGGCGGAAGCGACCTTACCGTTCTGTCACCCTTGGGGCACGTACTACACCCCTTTATACACCTCACTTTTCGGTCTCGATGAATAGTTTAATGCAAAATAAGTGTCTTTTTGCCAAGAAGTTCATGGCACCGCTGTGGCCCGTGTTGATAATTATCTTATAATCTTTACATTAATTTTGTTCAAGCTTTTAAAGTAGAAATCAGTTTAATGTTCTAAAAATATTTAATTGTCCAATTGATATTATGGAGTTTAAAAGAGGATAAATGTACTAAAAATTGAAATATACGAAATAGTGCAATATTTTTCTTTATACAAGTTTTTCAGTCCTGTAAAAATAATAATACTTTCTTATTTTGTTTACATATTACTAATAGTAATTTACTATGGTATAGCTAGCTAATCAGTTTTTTAACTAATTTATTAAAAAACTATATTATACAGAGATTAAAAATTTAAAAAACATGAAAATTGGTCAATTACTGTCAAATTAAAGTTTTATTTCATTTATTTTTTATTTTCTATAATTTGGTACCTATTTTAGTTTTTTTATGAAAATAAAAATAATAATAAAAGTTTTTTAAGTATTAAAAGAAATTTCTTTAAAAAATTTATAAATTACTGGATTCGCGTTGAATCCAGCTGGATTGATGTTGATCCAGCAAAAATCCAGCTGGATTAAAAACCCTACTGGATTGCAATCCATAGTCGCGGGGGTTGTTCGGATCAATCCGAACCCAGAAAATATGTATTCAATTTATACTTTTGATTAAAAAAATAAAATTCCAACCGGCATAATAGTAATCTTACCCTTTTATTGGCCTAATGTTTAAAAAGCACATTTTTATATCTAAGTTAATTGTATACTACTCACTTGTGCAGCTGTTCCATTCGCACCAATTGCTCAAGAGTCTTACGTACTGTTGCAGCCACAGGTGTTGGCCGCTGCTCAGCAACCACTCAGCCAGAACAGTGCTGCCACCGACCGGCCATATGATGTGCCTGAGATGATTCAAGTAGGGCAACAGCGAAAGATGCCAGTGTGCCAAATCCTCGTCGCAATACTTGATGCGACAGAAGGTTTTTCGCGCTTCTTGGCCGCCGGACGACGAAATGAACATATCCAGAAGCGAAACCGATTGGAAGCTGTTGTTGCGCAAGTTATAAACTGGGTTCAATTTAATCGGAGCAAGTCTTTGCAAACTTGAATCGTGAGGTAAGTTCACCAACCCTTGCAGACTGCTAAGCCACATCATAACGTAGCTAGCTTGTGTAAAAACAACTATTTCAGGCATGCAAACTGATCGTATGGCTTCCAAAATGCCCCATTCCAATTCTTTTCTGTACAAAAGAATGTTGCAAATCAACAATAAATTCCGGCAAATCGAGAACCGGGTGACAGCTTGCTGACGTATGCAACCGGCCACAACCGACACCCCCAAGTGAGAACTGAAGTGATGAAGCGCGAAAGGATTAACATCAGAATCGCATGTGTTGAGATTTTCATAGCGGAGAAGTTCGAGAACTTTGTGAACCGCCTTGTAGAGGTCGCAACATTGACCCAACATACCGGACACTTGATTTGTGAACTCACTGTCCATTTCCGTGTGAATTTTTTCTAGTAACTTTGACATTATAACATCGGGGGATTGAAGAGTGGCCATTTCTTTTTCAAACGTTGTCAGGAAAATGTCGCTCATTTGCTGTTCCAAGTAAACGATAACCTGAAATAGGCTCATAACGTCGCCCATGTTGTCCAAATCTAAAACGCAACGTTTAATTAACAAAATTTAAGACATAAATATTGTCCTACCATCGCCTAATAGTGGATATTCCACGAATTGGTCTTTGTACATGTAATCGCCACACAAGGTCATGTGCTCCAAAGGTTCTAAAGGCCGCAAGAACGAAAAAGTGGATTTTTTCAGGAAAACAGCTCCCGAAACAGCAGGAAGTAGTAGCAGACCTAGCGGTTTTAGTCCGGCCACGTGATATTGGACACAGCACGAATAAAACTTTTGCCAGCACCTTAAAATATTAAATCTATTAATATTTTAATAAACAAGACGCGACGTTCTTTGTTACCATTGGGCACATTCTAAATATTCCTGATCGTTGACGGTTTGTTCATTTAATACTGTTCGAATTTCGGATTCCACCGCCATGCAAATGCGCTGTTTAAGAGCTGTTGCCGATAAATTAGTATCAGCTAGAGCGTTGGATCTACTATAAATCTAAAAAAAAATGTTTAGAGTTTTTAATAGTTAATATTTCAGTTTTCTTTTGTCAAATTTCCGCTTCCGTTACCGGGCTGTTGTGCAAATCTCTTATTAAAAATATAACTTACGCATAAAGCCTTGCTGATGATGTGCAAGGGAAATCTGCCGGGATGAAAGATGTGCTGCAAATAAGCCTGCTTAGGATCTATCTCGTCGTCGACGGCCGGGTATTGGTTGGCGTCGGGTAGCGTCTCCAGAATCACCGGCGTCCAGCTGCTGCTCTCGTCGCCGTTAGCGTAGAGCGACGCAGAAAAAGCTACGCAGTCGCCGTCCTCACATCTCCACGCCGACCACAGCCGGTTCGGTTGGAGCGCGAAGTCTATCAAATCGTTCTAAACAACACAAACGTTAAATTTCCTTAACATGGTGCACGGCGTTCTCTATACCAGCGGGAGTGTTGTCCCCACGCATGAGTACATATTCTATCAAAATCAACAGAATAATATGTACTAAGTAATTTATTGAAAACAAACAAAGAACTGCTATTAAAATCGTTATTTATTTAAAACAAACAGAACTGCACACAAAATATAATTCTTTAATTTTAAAATAACGATTGTTTTGGATTTGTATATTTGAAATAAGTCTAATTTTTATAATATGGAATAATAAATAATAATTTTGTTAAATTTAATTTTATAAAAAAAAATAGTTTAATTTATCTATTACTATTAAGAATAATTACATACTTCAATTAAATTTTCTTGTATTTAAATTAACATTATTTCAACAATACCTTACACATGACGCTAGTTATTTCTGTAAGTGTGTCGGATAACAGCTTATTACATATGCAAGTATCTTAAAACTGTTTTTATAAAAAACATTGTAGGTAATTTATTATATAGTATTTTGGCATCAAAATTGTTAAATATATTCTTCTTTTATTAGGCTATACACTAAATAAACGAAACATAAGCAATATTTTATAAAAGTAGACATAATTTTAATAATTGACTATCCTGGACGGGACAAAATAATTTTTTTCTGCTGGATAATCGATAATTCATATGAAACTGTCTTGCATTACCGCGATAATACATTAATTTCTTGGTATTTTTTTATTTATTTATAATGTTATAAAAGCAGTAAACTAATGCAATATTTAAATCAACGTTAAATCAAGCCGATTTGAGCGATATCAATAGAAAATCAATAGATAATTTATATGAAACTGTCTTGTATTACCGCGATTATACATTAATTTGCTATTGCAGTCGGCCTCCTGACGTCACGCCTCCCACTACCACACTACCGCCTGGTATAGAGAACGCCGTACAGGGTGACATAAAACAAATACTAAACAATGTGTTGCTATAAGGAGTTCAGGAGCTCCACAAGGATCCAATCTTGGTCCTCTTTTATTTACAATTTATAGTAATGACCTAACGAGTAAACTTGATTGTAAAAGTTTGTTGTATGCAGATGATCTAAAGATTTTTAGCAATATAAAAGGCGTATCTGATAAGACTGCAGTCACAGATTGATACTGTTCAGTCATGGTGTTTAATTAATAAGTTAGGTATGAATGTTGGTAAATGCAAAGTCTACTCGTACGCTTATAAACAAAATGCTATTATTTACAACTACCATTATAACAATACCAAGTTAGTTTGATGCAATAAGGTCAAAGATTTGGGTTTATTGTTTGATTCTAAACTCACTTTTTCTGCACATATCAATAACATCGTTGTGGATTCTTTAAGATTGTTGGGATTTATTATAAGAAACTGTAAGACATTTACAAAACCGCCTTAAACTCGTTATATTTTTCTCTAGTAAGGTCGAAACTTGAATATGGTGCCTTAATAAGGAATCCTATTTTTAACAGCTATATAAACTACATTGAAAATGTTCAAAGAACATTTTTAATATTATTATCTTTTAGAACAGATAGAGTTTACCCTCCAAGACATAGAAAAAGGTAAAGACCATGCACAACTGTTAACTAGACATAATTTTATATCTTTGCGTATCAGAAGAATACTTTTATCTATTACTTTTTTTATTTAAACTTTTGCACAACTTAATTGACTCACCATTTCTACTAAGCAAAATTAATTTTTTAGCGCCTAGACCAAATTTACAAAGTCACCCTGCTTTTAACACTAGCGCGAACAAATGTTTTGCCTAGGTCGCCAATTTATAATATGTGTTCCAACTTTAATGTAATATCCGAGCTAGTTGATATACACAATGATTTCTTAAAATTATCCCTGGCAACTGAATATTTTATGTTGTTTTACTTTTTTTTTCCTTTTTCTTTTTTTAGTTTATTTTGTTACATTTGGGTTTTTGCATGTATTGTACTTATTTTATTAGTTAGGCTCTGCCTTGAACTTATTGTAATTGTTTTTTAGTTTAGGTCTTACTTAACCTTAATTGTTGTCCTATTATTGGAGTTGATATTCTGTTGGACAATAAAGATTTATTATTATTATTATTATAATGCGGTAGCAAAAAGTGACAACTGCAACTAAAGCCCTTCACTAAAACGCCATTAAGTCGCAGCTTGTCAATGTGTATTTAAAAGATCATTAGCGTCATGAAAACATGTACGATAATGTGGGTTTTAAAGGTAAGGGCTGAAAACATTATTTACCTCAGGCGAATGTAGCGTGTTTAACCTCACGATTCTGATCTGTTGGCCGCTCAGTACTGGTTTTAAGATGTGAAACTGGCATCCAGTGGAAAAGCTCATAAATACTACCAAAGTATTTTCTGATGTATGGTATCCATTCAACGCCTTTCTTAGAGAAGCTAAAATATATGTTAATTTATAATATACAGGATGTTTATGAAGGTTTGTCGAAAAATTTACCAGTTGGTAAAATTTTTATAAAAACACAATATTTTTATTAGGCTGGTTCTTATTTGACCGATGTCGGTATTTTAATCGTGTCGCCCTCTCATTTTTTTAAGATATAAAAAAAACATGCCAAATTTGAATGTCCCAACTTATTTCCTTCTATTGTCTGTAACAACGAGAGGTTTTCCAAATAGAGGATTTTTGCCTTTAATGTATTATTTTTTTTTAATTACTAATAATATATGGAAAAGTATAATTTTTTGAGAAAATGTTGAGGACATAAGTTACTTTTCTAATGAGATATTTAGGCATTAATGATCCGCTTCTGGTAAAAAAGTATTAAATTAAAATTAAATGATGGCATTATCTATTACAGTACAATTAATAGGATTGCCACCTTTTAAACATCTGAAAACCGGACAAATTTTATTCACGGGACAACCTTAAATTAAAGGATTTTGAATGTAGTTTAATAAGGTGATAACTATATCGTCCCAATTATACCATAAGGGCCATATTTAACAATTTTACAGAGCATTTTAGAGATTGGAAGTCTTTAGCTACCTTTAGATTCAAATTATTTTTGAAAAAAAAATAAAAACTCGATACATTTAATGTAATACCTAGTAGCACATTTGGCTCAAAAAGTATGATTGTATAGCAAACCATTTCCCTACAAGTCTATTAACAGCTGGATGTAGAGAGAGTGGGACATTCCATGGTAACGTTACAATCAGATATATTATTTGGCGTTAAAACGACAACCCTATTTTGATTATTTGAGAATTGTTTTTTGTTTTGTTGGTCTCAAAAAATGTAACTATTTATGTTGAAGTAGTGTACCGAATTTGAACTAAGTATCTTATCAATTACTCGAATTATTAAAAAAAATCAGTTTTAAATTTCAAACTTTGTCGCCCTGTATATCGAACATGAAGCTCTAAATTGAAAAATGGTATTATTGTTTTAACTCAAGGAATATATGGTTAACGGATTGACCTCCTTTTCCCGGACACCTTGTAGTGTATATCTATTATATCCACCATCATCACTCATTTTGTGAATCTCCGCGTAATGTTATCACCAAAAAAGCTACAAATCGCTCTGGATGGGGACCAGGGTGAAAGAAGGTGATATAGCTCCTATCTCTACAGCGAGGGGTAAACCACTGATTTTTTAAAATTAAAAATCGCTTACGAATTAACGGCTAAGGATAACAATAACAAGGGTAGTCATGTACAACGCGTCGCTAAGCACTGATTAAGCACCAATTAAGCACCAATTAAGCACCGATTAAGCAAGTTTGCCTTATTGATAACGACTGAAAAAAAATCTCAACACAACGTCCACTAACATTGAACGTTAGTCTCTAAGATTTTAAAGTGGTTTACCCCTCGCTCTACAGTACAGAAGCAAGCGTCCAGATAAGTCAGTATTTCGTTCGTTGTTTGTTAAATGGCGAGTCAACTAAGAACCTAAGGTTTTACCAACGAAATCCATATATTCTATAACAACTTAACTTTTAACAACAAATTATAAGATAACGAAAACTCAAGGAGAGTCTTCTACCCTCCTTAACGAAAATTACATCTTTTCTTACAGAAATATTATAAAAATTTGCAGAACGATTGGCAATACTGTAGTATTGCCAACTGTTCTGCCAAAATAAACAGTCACAACAAACGCACAAAAGTGACGTTGAAATGGTTTTATTTGAATTTTAATTAAGCTTAGTGGTCTATTCTTTGAAGTTAATCTATGCAATTTTACTAAAAATGGGAAAAGTTTGTTGTGCACTGGGATTAAAACAGGTTCCACGTCAATGCGCAATCTATTGAGAATTTTAACAAATACTGAGTTATTTGGCCGCTTTCCGGGATAGAGATGTATCACCTGAGGTGATTCACCTCCTTCTTCCACCTTGATGTGGACTGTGGGTTTATCAAAGTACGATGTGAGTATTGTATTTTTTAAATGTCTTAATAAGTTCTTTATTTTCTGTTAATGACGAAAAATACCGAAACTCTTAATTTTTGCGCCATATCCGGATATTTGGTGTCCGGTTTGGTAATTCGACGGGACTCCGAACATTCTTTAGGATATCCGGACTGTACGGAAAACCAGACGGATGGCAACCCTAACAATTAATAATATTAATATTATTATTGTAGTTACCACCTTTGTGCTTACAATGGTATAAATGTAATAAAATCGAAGTCGGAATTTTTTTATTTGGAAATTCTTTATCTTGATAACCTTAGAACTTTTAATATGCTATTTTTAAACATAATATATTATTAAAATGAAGCCTTTAGTTTTGCTTTTGTTAATATTTATTTTGAATGCCTTTTGTGAAGAGGATTGTATAAATCAGTGTGGTGGACCTGCAGATGTTTTTGAAATGGAAATAGATAATAATTGTAATTGTCAAACATATCATTCAACACAAACAATTATTGCACAGAAAATAGTTTATTTTTCAATTTCAAATAGAAGGAAGAAAAGTAAGTATTTGCGGTGATTATGTTTTAAACAACATTGAAATATTTATTTAATAAAATTATAATTCTTACTTTCAAATTAAGTTAAAAAATATTTGTGTTCATTTAACCTTTAGTACATATTTTTAGGATGTATAATACAATGCCACAATCGGCTAAAATGTCCGACTGGGAAAAAACTATATGTTGTAGGAAAAAGGTTATGGTGTATGAGCAGACGGAATTTTATTGGTTAATACAAGAATAAAATAGAGTAGTTTTAATAAAAATTATTAAAATAAAAAACTGTCTTCTACCTTTAGGTTGTATTATAAAATATTATTTAGTTACTTTCACAAAACTTGTTTTTTAGTTTTGATTATAATTTAATTATTTATATTAATAATCTAAAATTGAGACGCGGCCCCGCTCAGCAGCTTGGGTGGAAATTAATTACACAAATTACAATTTAAATAATGATGACTTACCACCTTGCACCAGATCCCTGTTAGTGTCCCCTGTTTCAGTTAAAACATCAATAACAGCCACACAGTGTCCCCTGCTGCATGACCAGAACTTCAAATGCCCATCTCTACACAGTGTGACTGCATACATTTCATTATCCAACAGGATAATTAAAAGGCTGACTATGTTGTCAGCTTCACTATTTTTTTGCCTGAATTTTTCTGCCAGTCCAGATAAAAACCTGGGCATAAGAGACTCTCCTTTCATTTCCATAGAGATGCACTGACCTTCCCTGTTTTGTTTAATTAACAGCATCTCTGTGGAGGGATAGGCAAGGACAAACACAGCTTCCTCTGTATCAGCCGATAAATAGGAACAAGCCAAATTTGGCAACTGATCATCTAAATAATAAATAAAATTAATTTGATTTTAAACAAGAATTGTATCTACATACTTGCACTGTGGGGGTTATTAAAAACATGGAAAGTATTGGGGTTTTTGGCTTCCATAGCTGTTGCTTTTGAGAATATTGAAGGAGCAGCCAAATCAGGGTAGGAGCCCAAATCATCCTAAAAACAAAAACAAATTGATGATGCTAAATATTACAATTATATTTCATGCCCCTTATTTTTTAAATGACTCTAAATATATATAGGTATATTGTAAAATTTAATATGTTTAAAGTAACTCTTTCTATTTTAATAGATTCAGTTTTTGTCATCCAAATAACTTAAACAATGACTTACCTGTCTATGAAATCTATCTGGATGTGGAAAAACAAGCCTATGGATGCTACAAACAGTAGGCACAAGTACGATAACATTATCAATACTTTCATGAATAGAAACTCCATCTAATATAGGAGTATCAACTATTTTGTATCTGATTCTATTTCCTGTTAAATTTATATCCAAACTGTGCTCGACCAACTCCAACACATCATTGTTAATACGCCTTTAAAAAAACTGTCAAATTAAATATAATTAGCAGATTAATCACTTACCAGTGAATAAATCTATTTCTAGTATGTGTTTTAGTGGAATCCTCGTAGCAATAGCCATTTGCCTTTTCGGCTACTTTAATATCTTGCAAAGTACTTTGAGTGCCACCTAAAGTAAAAAAGTTAACTTTTAACATTTACTTTTAAATGCAAAACAAATACATACCTGTACTAAGTGTTATATCTTTCCATGAATCTAAAACGGTTTGATCCGGTATAACTTCTCTATAACTTAACGTAAACTCGCTCATCGTTAAAAACAGAGATAAATAAACTTAAAACAGAAACATTCAAATGCTACAACTTAACCTCACTTTTACAACGTATTTTCAAACTCTCTCTTGGCACCACTGCTTTGGGATCGGTAATGTAGAGGTCTTATCATTGACAATTTGACGAAGATCGGTAATGTAGAGAGCCGTTATCATTACTAATTTGACGGATTTGAGGTTAGTTTTACATAATTTTGTCAAAAATGGGCAATGGAATGGGAAACATCCCCCAATCGGGGTTTAATTTGTATTTTCACCCCGAGATAACCCCAAGTCCTTTAGAAGAACCAACTTTTGATCCTAATGTGGGCTTTACAAATGGCAGAAAGGAAAGGGGTAAGACCACTGTTTATGTAACAACCATAATAAACCTGTGATGATAATTTTTTTGTTTTAGTAATGATTGCTACAGAAGAGGAAATGAGATCAGCTAAAATCCCATTGGAGGACAGAGATTACTGTGCACATCACTTGTTAAAATACCAAGCTTGCAGAAAGGATAACTGGCCATGGGCCGTTAATTGTGAACATGAAAAACATGTCTATTTAAATTGTAGATATGATGAGTAAGCTGGTTTTATATTACGAAGTGGCTATTTATACGCCCGACGTATACAAAATTTGGTATACGTCTTGAGCTTTCATTGTTGAGTTTGGGTTGGTTTCGCTCACTGTCAATCAACTTAAATGGGCAAAAATGAGCGAAACCAAACCAAACTCAACAACCCAACCGACCCCGCTCCATTGGGCCCCCCGCCCCATAGAGGAATAGAGGCCTATTTTGTAGGAGAAAATTTTTGCCTCATATTTAGCCATTTTTATACTTATTTATCAAATACTTAATTTTGCTTACATAATTTTTGTAAATTACTTCATTTTTATATATTTTTAACGTTATTATTATAAAATTCAGCAGTTTGAATATCTTCTTCTTCTTCTTCTTTTTTATTTATTGGCCTTGGTCTGTGTAAACCATATCAGCCAGTGGTCTGGATCATAGAAAAAGTATATATCTGGATTCTTAGGCGTTATCCGGGGTAGTATGTTGGCTGTTAACGTGCTGGTAAAAAGGAATTTGGGTATTAGGTTTTATATGTAAGGCGTAGCCATGCAAAGCGGGTAGGTCAGAGCAAATGAGAGCAGGGGGTTTTACAGCCTGTTGTAGTTTGAATATCTGACAATTTTCATTTTGAAGTTTATAGGTTAGATTAACTTTTTCAAACTAGCCAATGAAAGCACAAGACGTATACCAAATTTTGTATACGTCGGACGTATAAATAGCCAGTTTGTTTCTCTATGGTTTATATTATCTATTTATTTGTGTTGATTTAAAATTGTTTTAGTTTCCTTATCCGAATGAAGGAATACGAAAGGGAACGTCGTTTGAGAGTTAAAACACAAAAAGAAATATCTGCATAATATAATTTTTATCAATTTTGTAGTTTCAAGTGTAAATATAATTTATAAAGTTATTCATTAATTTTAGTTTAAACACAAAATCACTATCCTTCAGTACTTATCTTATACTTCACCCTTGGGGCATTCCACGTTACTCGGTAATTTTTGTCCCGCCCGTCACATTTAAAAATTGTGAGTAAAAACCACAAGTTATTAAATTAATATTTTTTAATATTATTTTTATTGTGCTTATAACTTATTAAAAGCATAATAAACAATATTTTAAAATAAATTCTATAACGTGTAGTTTTTACTCACAATTTTTAATTGTGACGGGCGGGACAAAAATCCCCGAGTGACGTGGAATGACCCCCTTATGTGACTGGAAAAAAACACCTTCCTATGACAGGGTACCCAAATTATATTAATTTGGATATTAAAAGTAAAATATCTGTTTTTAATGGATGTATTTGAAAGTGAATTTTTTTTATAAGATATTAACTTGTGTGATACACCTACGTATTTGAATAAGTAAGCTATTAACTTGTGCATATTTGAACGGCTAAAACGCAGCAACAGCAACTGTATCAGCTTATTGCAGACTGGTATTGACAGTTTAGTTGTTTCTTTACACCGTTGAATAAACAATTGTTTAAGTGCAGGGATTATTTTGAATTCGTTTATTTACAAATATATAGATGTAGATAAACTTTGCGTTTTCATCTTAGCTATAAACTTTGGCATTTTAAACTAAAGGGTACCCAAACTGTCATTTGTGTGTGGAAAAATTTGAACATTTATTTAAAAAAAAAGCCTAAAAATGCATTTTAAATTTTAATATTGTGCAGAAAATACCTAGTTTAGAAATGTCACAAAAGGGCAAACCTCCTTGATTTTAATCAAAAAAGATTCATATCAAAAAGCTGAATGGATACTGGGGTACCCATTCAGTCACATAAGGGTTAAAATAATTTATAATCAAACAAATTTTTTAAATGGATGTTTAAAAAAAATTATACAAACAGAAAATTATTTTATTACTTTACTTTTAGATTCATATATATTACAAAATCTTAAATTAATATTACTTATTAAAAATATTACAGAATATCTTGTATTTGCTTGACACACTTCATTCTTTTTGTTTCCAATTCATTTGAACTCATTGATGAATGAGATTTCATGATGGACATAAAATTATCCGAGCTGCTTATTTTTAACTTTATTTCTTTCTTTGAACCATATTCTGATAAAAGTAAAGTACCCAAGGCTACATACAGCCGGAATTGCGATTCTGGATCATTTAATTTGGTTGATATATCTGGTATAACTTCTGCTAATATTGAAATTCCCATGTAATCATTTTTCTTTATTGCCATAATCACCATATTTAGTAATAAAGTTGACAAGGCAACCTAAAATAGGATTTTAGTACAAATTCGCAAAATAGACTGTTTTACCTGTCCGTTTTTATTTTGCTGTGCCAAAGAAGTTATATTTTCCAATATATCCATATGGTTTTTGTAGATTAAATTTTCTCCTTGGTCGTGACATAGTAAGTTGCTTAAAACTCTTAAGGCAACTATTGTATTGTTTGCAACCCTACAATTATCACTTATGCAATATTTAAGCTTATCTATTAATGTACTCCTATTTGCTGATGATATTATTTCATTAATTTGTTTGTGCCTCACAGCTAGTCTGATAACATCCAAAACTGGGAAAAGGTAGTCTAAAAATAATTCATGTAATACATATTATGTTTAATTTTAAAATTTATAAATTAAGTTTTACCATCAGGCCAATCCAAAAGTTTAAATAAAAGTTCTAAAGAATTGGGGTCTGCAGGTGGGCCATCACACAAGTCTACTAATCTTTCCAATTGTTTTTCATCCAAAAATGTATTGTGCCCTTTTGCTTCTTCATTGAACTCCTGTAACAAAAATGATACTTACAAACAGATGAATTTCCAACAAGTTTTGTCATTATTAGCTATTTTACTACTTTTTTTTAATTGTAGTTACCACATTTATGCTCAGCAGTAATTTTGCAAGACTCATTTCATGCTAGCTTTTGCCTCTGTGAATAGGTACTTAATAAGTAAGGGTATATTTAAAATTGAGTTAAGAAGCTTAAGAAATTTAAAAAAAAACGTTTTATTTACTGGAAAAATTAGAAGCACAAAAATAGCTAATCTTTTTATATTTTGACGCGCTGAATTTAAAAATCACTATGAAAAAGTTTGTTTAATTCACAGGGTGCACCAAGTATTATTTAAAGAGCCAGAAGGTCAGTTAAAATTATAACAAATTAAAGACACACTGGTAAATTTAAAAAAATTGTTTTAAATAGGCTGGTAACTACAATTTACCACGATTATCAGGGTTGTTCTCTACGCCAAATTGTTCAGTAAGCTTTCTGTTACAAGTACAAAAAATTAGCTGCATACAAGTGTATACAAATAAGTTATATTTATTTGTCGCGCAGCATGGCTCGCGGGGAGACTCGTACATTTTTCGAAAAGGCAATAAAAAATATCCTTTATTTTTTCCAATTAAAATTAGTAAATTATACGTAATAAGTCTTACTGAATACAGTTAAAAAAGATATTTATTTGTATTAAAAAAAGTCATACAAACACTTAGCCTTGTCATAAATTGTTTTGTTTATTTTTCTCATAAAAAACAAACGCTTTTTTAATAACTTTTAATAATTTGAAAAAAAAAACAATGAATTGTTTTTTTTTAAAAAAAAAACATATTTTATTAAAACGTTTTTTAATAAATTTGAAAAAAAAATGTTTTTTACATCACTATTTTCACGACACAAAAATATGAACGCTCATAACCCCGCAAAATATACGTTCTTTCTTACCTTTAATTTGTTCAACACAATCTGCGGGTTGCCTATATCAAAAGTCCTGTAAGCACTGAGAGGAAAAAAACGTTCGCATTCTCCCGATTTGTTCTGCGCTTGCGTGACGGTAGTGTAACTTGAACCACCCGTAAAGGGATCAGTATTAGCTCCAGAGTTGGCCAAGCTCGTTTGCGAATTACCACCTTGAGAAGTGGTATAACTGCTGCCACCTTAAATAAAATATATATTTTGATAATTTTTAATGTAATTATTCATATTACCTGTAAAAGGATCCAAATTAAACCCATCAGCTACTCCTCTGTTGTTTAAATCACCCTGTGGAGTGTATCTGCTTGCTCCTGTGAAAGGATCCACATAATTTGTTGTTGGTGGGGCATACTTATCCTTACTGTTTGTTAAAATAAAATCAACAATCTAAAAAACAAAATTTTTTTAGTTCCTCAAGAAAAAATTTAAATAAATTATTAAAATTTTCAAATTTATAGATCAGCCCAGGTTTAAATAAATAAATACAAAACTCACCTGTTCAAGATATGTAGGTGGAAGCATATTTTTCGTCAAAAACTCATTAGCTACTTGATAAACATCTTCACCTTTATTATATGGAAGTTTTAAAGCGGGTTTCCCATCCTCCACATCAACGCTAAACACAAAATCATAAGACTAAAATTTCAAACAAAATAAATCTTTCAATAACCCCCAAAACAACTCGATTTACCTTTCCTTCGAATACGGTTTTGCCGCTAGAATCTTTGTCTGTACCTCCCAAAACATCCCCCACTTTCTCCCAATGACTATTATCCCCATCTTCAACCCAAGTGTAGGCAACCACGCCGCCACCTTCCCGGATCATTTTCATTTGCCCCGGTTTCTTTCCGTGATCAAAGAGGGCCTCTCTGCCTGGCAAATCCGTCACCTTAACTCCACCTTAAAGTAAAAAAACCTTTTTTTAGATTGAAAATGTCTAATGGCTTGATCCCTTTTATAAATTTCAATGTCTACACGCCGCACATAGGTGTATTTGAACGATCTACGCGGCCAATTTTTTTTCGTTTTTATTAGATGCCAAATTATGCTACTAAGTAAAACCGATTAGTTTTTTGCTTAAAATGTTCAATTAATAAAAAAATAAATAAAACAAAATTAAGTTAAGGGATGTGTGAAACCAATTAATTTTTTAAACATTTATTCACAAAATTAAAATTGTAATAAAATAAAATTAAAGTAATGGCATAAATTAACATAACTAATCCTAAACAAATATTGAATACAAAAAAATAATCATATAATACAATTTTGACTATAATATTCAAAGTCAGTTGGGTCTTGACACTTGAAGTGGAAGGACGCATCCCGCAGCGTATACGATACAAACGTAGTAAAGTACCCAAAAACGAAACTAAGTATCCGGAAATATCGGTAATCGTTAATAAATAAATAAATAAACAAACAAGTGCGAAAAGTGCGGTAGGACCCCGGTTAACGCCGTAAAAGTGTGCAAGTGAATAAGTAATTAAGGCTAGGCCACAACGATAAGCCAACCGGTCCACATGGATCAGAGATTTGCCACAATCAAAGTGTGCCAAAAACCTTCAGGCGAGGTCAAGGAACACCGGGCAGCCCGTGAAAGACAAAGCATCAGGATTATAGCCTAATAATCAAGCTAAGTAATTTTTCTAATTGCATGTCTTATCGAATAATCGTTAAATGTTTATATACGGAATTTCGCAATGTTGCCAAATGTCATCTGGCTTCAGAAATCAAACAGGTCTCTACACAGAGAAAAGTAAACTATTTCAAGTTTAAATAAATGAACAGTTTTTGGTACATTCAATACGACTACAGTCTTTAAAGTAAACTCGTACAGTTTTGAATATTATTTTACTACTACAAAAATGTACAAGATTTCATAAAATGGTAAATTATGAAAAATCTCTAATATAAGCACACCTATTGTTTGTCTAAGATTTCTTTTATTGTCTCAAAAACTAAATTTTAAAAAATAAGAAAATATTTCCGTAAGTTAAATAACAACCTCATTTGCTCAGAGTATACAAACCATAAACAACTCAACTAAATTGAAAAAGGAGTAGGAGTAAATTTGGTTTATTTATCAAGCAAGATGACAAAAAATTTAGATCATAAATAAGTGTTGTGTGTGAATAGGTAATATTGTATATGCACTTAAGATTCTAGCCATAAACTAAAGCCAAATAAAAATAAACACAAGCTCAAAAATACAAGAACAGCACAGAAGATAAGAAGAACGACCCTATCAATAGACAATGCAGACCATATGGTCGCACTCCAATTACATACACTACAGGACCGGCTTTATTTATTTTGTATATTAATATTTATATTTTTAAATTAAATTTGGAAAAAAAAGTAAGAATGCAAAGATATAAATTAAATGAAAACGGTATAAACACTAATTTAGCAATAAAATAAATAAAGAATATACAAGGTTGCCGGCACTCGGCAGGAGGAATATCCGCCAAGGCAGAGGGCATTTACGGTGTGTCATGGCCTTCAACACCCCAGGTGGCGCACTGACGTCTGCTGGCGTTTAAATGACGGTGAAATGACGTCAGAAGACGTCATTTAAACGTCGTCAGACGTCAGTGTGTTACCGGGGACTTCGGTACGGAAGACAAGACTCAGTATCACACAGGGGGGCAAACAATTCGAAAGAGGTTACCAGGAACCTGTTACTGGCTCGGACAGAGATGTTCAGAAAGACACCAACAAGGACAGGTTCTAGCAGCGTACTAACACTTATACCCCCATTCATGAATCCCAATTGAATGGGGTTATTACTAAGTCCCGGTTGAGAAGGATTCCGGATTGTACTTAGTTTTGGGTCAGTTCAATGTCCTCCAAAAACCCTTCCCAAACTGGACGTATGGCCCGACCCGGCTGACAAAAATCCGTGGAGCGGCCTTAACCACTGTTTTCCACGACCTCCTAGGGTGGATCTACCAGCCGGCGTAAAAACTTCAGATCCAACAAACACAGGTAAAGCTGCGATTTGGCGGGATACGCAGGAGAACGGATAGGGGGTAAAATAACCCTGGGAGATTAGTGGCGGTTAATGTCTTTGGGGCCTGTCATACGTTCCCATACTCATACTCATACAATTTTGACTATAATATTCAAAGCAGCTTTTCCGGGCTTATACAGGCTTACCTGGGACTAATTATTTGATTTATTATTTATCTAGACTACCAACTTTACAGTATTATCAAAATTTTTACCGGATCTATTAGGATAGTATGAAAACGATACTAAAACGTTACTTTTTTTTACAAAATAATTCTCATGGAAAAGACCTCTCTTTAAGGCTCCAAACTTTGACCCACAAATAATTAAATGATAAAGTTTTGTTAAATAACAACAATTACATATATGTACTTCGAAAATCCATAACTTTTTCATCACTTTTGAACTTATGGACATAAAAACAAAATTTTACAATTTAGATTGTTAGGAATGTCAAGAACAGATAACTTATACAGGGAACACGATCGAATCCCAACTGACGTTGCACGTGATGCACGGGCGGGGGTGGGAGGGGCTGGCTTTTATTATCAGAAGGGTCCTTTATCTTAGGAAGTCGGCTTCCTAGAAGTATTTGGTGTGTTTATGAATTGACTTTTGGCCGCATACATTGTTCAAATACCCCAATGTGCGCCGTTTTTCGTTTAATTCCATAAAATTTTATTTTCATAAAACTCTTACCAATCTCTTGGGTGCTCTGTTGAGTGAGCGCGAGAACTTCTTCGTTAAACTTAGTCAACGCCGACTCCTCGGCCATTCTGTCTTCGTTTTGGGTGAAAATCCTGACCTGCCCGTCGCTGGAGCCGGTCACCACGTCGCCGTTTGTCATGCAGTCCACCGACCACACCGACTGCGCAGGCAAACTGAACGTCTGCGTGTTTTGCCCGTCCTGCCAGTAGCGCACCGTGCGATCTTCGTCCGAAGTGACAAAGCAATTGTCGCCGCCACTTTTGCAACGTGCTATGCTAAAGATATATTAAAATGTTTATAATATTTAGGAAATGTATAAATTCAGTAGTAAATTTAAAAAAAATATTATTAAAATATTTCCAAGTCAAATTTTAGCATGCATCAACAGTTGCACGCGCACAGGAACGTAAGTTCACCATGCAACTTCGTGCGCACTGTCAGTATTGCCAGATTTAGTGCTTTTTCAGCCCAAATTTTTATTTAGCGCTCCCATCAATGATTTAGTATTATTTTATAATTTACGTATTATGAATTAAATTGTACTTCAGTAAATTATATTGTCTCTCTCGCTCTTGGTATAAGGTTGGTTCCTAGCGAGCATTTGGACTGTCAAATGGACCTCAGGGACATGCGCAATGGTAAAATTTCGACCATATTTTCGTATTGCGCATGCGATTTTGGTAAAAATTCAGTAGTAAATGTTTAAAAAATAATATTGAAATATTTCCAAGTCAAATTTTAACATGTAAGGGAAGTTTCGCGCGCTCAGGAACGGAAGTTGCACGCACACCATGCAACTGAAGTCTCCTGCGCACAGTCAGTATTGCCAGATTTAGTGCTTTTTGAGCCAAAATTTTCATTTAGTGCTGCCATCAATGATTTAGTATTAGGAATTTTATAATTTTCGTATTATGCATTAAATTGTACTTCAGTACATTATATTGTCAGTGATGTAATGTATCGAGATACATGTATCTGGATACTGGATCTAGATACATTTTATGTACCTAGATACGTATCGAGATACTTAAAAAAATCAGGATCTACTTTAATATCTAGATCCTTTTGAAAGTATCTAGAACCTTAGATACAAGATACATTTTATTTTACCCATTGCAACCCCACACGGAACATCCAATGCATATACTCTATAAATATCCAGGATATCCATTGGACATCCAGTAGATGAACTTGCTTTATAAATATCTATTGCGTTATAAGGTCCAAACTTTGTCATTTAATATTTAAGTTTTTAAGTAACAGAAAGTATCTGGATACTTTTTGAATGTATCTGTATCTGTACCCAGATACTTTTGGGAAAATGTATCGGTATCTGTACCCAGATACATCTGCCAGAGAGTATTTGTATCTGTACCTAGATACTGAAAAAAATGTATCGGTTACATCACTGGATCATTTTCGTCCCTTTTGGTATAAGGTTTGTTTGTAGCGAGCATTGGGACTATCAAATGAGGAGCGACTAAACAGAGCGCCGCGTGCCGTATTAGTTAAGTTGAGGACCTGTTGGCGGCGCTGTGTTATCGCACATTTTGTTGTGGTTAGTCATTATTTCTAAACATCTAAACTAATAGTTATTAACATGGCTGTTATGTGTAAATTTTGTGAAAAAATCCTTTGCAGACAATCATGTTTAAATAGGTTAGAAGCGATTCTATTAGAATTAGAATTAGTGGCGGCTGGTGGATTTTGGGCACACCCATATCTCAGTTATTAGACATGGGACCCACATCAAATTTATATAAGTTTATAATGACATTATAAAGACAAGTTCTGCGCAATGAATTTTTTTAATAAAATTTTAAATTTGTCAATAAACTTCAGTGAATTAAATATTGTACCACTTTAATTTCAATAATCTTAATTTGGGGGGGGGGGGCAGGAGGCTGGGGGGCACACTTAAAAACTAACTTTTTTTAGCAAACTTCAATTTAAATTCTGCTTGCGCAGAACTTGTCCATATAATGGCATTATAAACTCATATAAATTTGATGTGGGTCCCATGTCTAATAACTGAGATATGGATGTGCCGAAAATCCACCAGCCGCCACAATCATTCTAAAGTGCAAAAAATAAAAAAGACCCAAGTAATAATTTACGAATTTAGTATATAAGATGTAAACACAATTATTACTTCAGTTATGCATACAAAAATTTGCTTTAGATTTTAAAACATGGTTGGAGGAAACAAATAAAAGTGAAACAACAGAATATGTTCTAACAAGGGGATGCAAATTAAGAAAAACTTTTAATGGCTCTGCTAAAATTTTTTACCACAACTGTAATAGAAGCATAAAAAATAGTGGTATTTATAAATAAAAGTTGACTAATAATAATTAGTTTATTACTTAACAGTGGCGGCTCGTGGCAGTAAAATTTGTGAGTTCTGCCAGTGGGGTTTAAAAAAATGTGGCGCAGTGGGCATTTAATTAAATGGTACCTACAGTTAATTAATTAAATCATAATTAAATCATACACCACATTCATTCTTACAAAAGAATACAAAAACAAACACAAAAATACACCGAATTAACAGTCTTCTAGTTAAAATAACAAACGTGCACGCGAAGCGAAAAACAAACGACCGGGAAGTAGGAACTGTATGTTGGTGCAGCTCCGGTTTGGCTTAAATTTCACTATCTCAACCTAGGACCAAGAGCGGCGCGGAGCAAAATTACGGTATTGAAATGGGAGCCAGAACTCGAAAGTGGCCCAGCTTTGTTGTATTGTAAGCGTTAAGCGTTAGAGACCTTTACCGGTCGTTTGGATGACTGTAGTGGCCAAGTACGGCGAATGTTTATAATAAAAACTTTTTATGCAGCCATGCGTTTGAAATATTTATAAACTGTCGCACTTAAATATTAAATAATTAAAAAATTAGTCAAGTAATAAGAAAATTTTGGGAGTTCTGCAGCTCTGCAGCCCTTATGCACTAGCCGCCCCTGTTACTTAATAGTTTTTTAACTTACAGGCAACATAATCCACGATGAAAACAGGAAAATGTTGCTAAAGATGCAAGGTTCAGAAAAATTAGATTTTTCTTGTACAAGTCAAATTAAACTGACTCAAATAAAAGAAGGATGTTTTGTAAAATTTTACAAAAACCATTTTAATCATGAAAATGAAGTACAACATTTGCATATTTCAAAAACTGACAAAAGCCCAATTGCTTATAAATTATTGACAGGGGTTCCAGTTTTTAAGTAAGTAATAAGTTAGTAGGTATTAAAGCAATCAAATCTAAATTTTAAAAATCTTTTATAGGGTACTTGATCAAAACAATGATCACATTATTAAAAATTATCCACAACGTATTCATTTGTTAAAAAGAAAAGATGTTTATAATATTAAAAATTCATATGGGATAGCTTTATCAGATGATGGAAGAAGACATAAAAATGATGCTGTGAGTATGGATATGTGGGTCCAAGATCAGTTAAATTATGAAGAACACTCTCCAATTTATTATAAAAAACAGGGGATTGAACAAGATAATCTCCACCAAAATGATTTTTGTTTAACTATAATGAATAAATCTCAGCAATATGTTAATGAAGTTTGGCGAAAACATAATCGCAATTGATTCAAATCATGGACTTAACGATTATGATTTTGAACTTACAACATTAATGGTCATAGATGAGTTTGGGGAGGGATTTTCATGTGCAAGTATGTTCACAAATAGAAAATATACAAATATACATATTTTTTTTTACTAAACTAAAAATGCCCTTGGATGCATAATTCGACCCAAAACTTTTATGTCAGATATTACAGGGGTATTCTACAATGCTTGGCAGGTAGTTATGGGCACACCTTCACATCTGCTATACTGTGCATGGCACATTGATAGAGCGTGGCAACAGAATTTATCTAAAATAGCTATTGCTGAAAAAAAAGTGGGTCTATAAAACCTTAAAATATTTACAATATATACTGACACTCAACAATTTGAATCTAATTTAGCAAACATTTTGAAACTACTTTATGAAGATCCGGATACTGTGGAGTTTGCAAATTATTTCAACAACAATTATGGGTCAAATTATAGACTTTGGGCAATTTGATATAGGCAGAAATGTGGAATCAACATAAATATGCATCTAGAGTCGATGCACAAGACAATTAAATATTTTTATTTGCGAGGTACCAATGATTGGATAAGGGCCTGCAATGCAGTCCTGAAGTATACGAGATACGAGAAAAAATTGTTGATAGAATTATTAAAAAGACAAAAGTAAAGCATAATAAACCTATGACAGCAATTATTTCAAGGCATCGACAAGCCATTGTGTCAGCTTTTAAAGTAAGTGAAAAGGAAAAAGAAAATTTCATATTAGAAAGCAATGACAAAGAAAATAAAGCAACCTATTCAGTTTTGAAAGTCAGTGATACTATTTGCTGTGAGTTACAATGCAGATTTTGCAACATATGTGTGCACACTTTTTAATGTTCATGTTCAGACTACTTTTTACAAAATACTATATGCAAACATATACACTATATTATACTTCACAGTAAACCTCTAGTAGAAGTGAATAGGCATAAAAACAGAACTGAAGAATTTGAAGTGCATTTGGACACAATCAAGAATATAAACAATGACAATTGCAATAACATTAAACATATTAATATTTTTAATTTATTAACAGATATTTCTGAACAGGTCAAGAATTCCTCAAACCCAGGAGTTTTGCGAGAATGTTCCAGTTATTTAAAAAAAGGTTCTCTAATTTTAAATATTGGAACCAATACCTTACTGCCTGAGATAATTGTAAAATCTCAACCTGCAAATAAGAAAATTGAAAAGCAGTTGCAATTTTTCTTAACTAGAAACAACCGAAAAAACAAAAAGGCTTTAATTAGAAAGCCTGACCATAGTAAAGCAAAGATTATTTCGGATATGTTCAATAATAATTATTGAACACATCCGAAATAATTATTGTCCTTATATAAGTACTGATGTAAATATTGATCATTGATCTTTAGTAGATGACTTGTAAATTGTGGTTTAAATAGACCTTAAAATTTAAATGCAGTTTTTTTATCTTAAAACCTTATTATAAATAAAGGGTTTTTTCGAGTATACCTACTATGTATATTAGGGTGTCCCTTATTTTTATTTTTTTTACGCATACCCTCTAATTATATTTATTACGTGTTTATATACTCCCAGTAAAAATTTCAGCTCATTCTATAAACGGGAACCCGTGCCGACTTGCATCTGAACCATCCGTTAGCCAACGTTAGGCGCGCGGTATTTTGTAACACGGTTGGTCGCGAAGTCATTTTGTGTTTGTTATTATGTGACCCTTATATTATAAATTATTGACAAATGTTAAAATATAGTTTTATTTATGTGTATACTTTGATAAAAATGTATATTTTCACAGGGAGTGGCTAGTTACCCGGAGGGGTCTGTTGAATAGGCCGTAAACTCTGAAATTGATAAACTTAATGGGTTTTACTCTAAATAACTAAAAGAGTCTATTGTGAGAGATGACTACCGAAAACTTATTTAACTGTCTGAAATATTTTTTGGAGGACATCAAGAAAAGAAATTATTATAAAAAGCTGAAATTTCATATAACAGTATATTTTAGCAATACTAATTAGTATATTAATATATTTAAGGGATAAAATCAACTAAATTAGTGAAACAAATGATAGAAACAAAAGCAATAATATTAATTAGTAATCATATTTAATAAAATTATTAGAAAAATACAGTCATGAAGTATATCTATTTCGTGTTACAAAATACCGCTCGCGCCTAAGGTTGGCTAACGGAGGGTTCAGATGCAAGTCCGCACGGGTTCCCGTTTATAGAATGAGCTGAAATTTTTACTGGGAGTATATAAACAAGTAATAAATATAATTAGAGGGTATGCGTAAAAAAAATAAAAATAAGGGACACCCTAATGTATATATACATATACTGTACAACTTTGATTTTTTTACTAACTGAAAGTGGCCAAGAAATTGAAATTTGGTATATGGACCTAAAATATGATTCTAAACAACTGTTATTTATAATATTTTGTCGTATATCCCATAAGGCACTTACCCACACAAAAATTTGTAAAAAAAATAAAAATCAAAGTTGGCCAAGAATTTTGAACTTTGGTAGGTATATGGGCCTAAATGTTAATTATAAACAACTTTTTTTATAATATTTTGTCGTATATCCCATATGAAAGAAACTTTACCTACACAAAAAATAGTTTTTCTACTCCCACCTTTAAAACGCCCTTTATCGTACATGTTTCCATGACACTAAGTGACCTTTTAAATACACACTGACAAGTTGTGGCTTTACGGCGCTTTAGTCACGGGCTGAAGTTAGTTTTAAGTTAGTTGACAGTTGTCAAATGTCATACAATCGTTAAAATAAAGTGCCTTTCTTGTAAAATAATACTAAATGTGAAAATTATTTTATTATCTCAATACAAAAATACAAAAATATTAAATAGTTTCTCAACGCCAATATTTGAAAAGTTTATATGAACATTGTACTTTTAATTTCGCTGGCAGTAAACTATAACTTAAATTCGGGCACGGACTCTACTGTAAAGTCCTCATAAAACATTTCCTTTATTTTCACTGAAAAACTGTCAATTTTCAAGATACATTTCGATTTATAACATTTATAATTGAGTTTATAAAATGTAAAAATGTGACATTTGACAGTTTCCCCTGTTGTTTCATAGATGGCGCTCTATACAAATTTTTGATTTAAATCATTTTAAGATAATAATAAGTATTTGTCGTAGAAAAAGTATAGTATACACCTCGTTTATAAACTTTTCTATACACTCATTAACTTAAGCACTCGCTCGCTAGCTCGCTCGTGCCTAAATTAAATTCGTGTATAAAATGGCGTTTATCAAACTTGATACATAATATACTATTTTTTAATATTTCCAAGGCATATTTGAATTTTCAAAATTATAATTATGTTGAAAATTAATCTTTTATCAAGTAGGGCTGAACCCCCAACATGAATTTTTTTTATTTTAAAAGAGTCGTTTCACCTATTGGGGATACACTGTATAAGATTTTTGTGTTTTTTTTAATCGTTTATTTCAACATAGTTTTTAAATATTCTGTAAATTTCAAACTTCAATATTTTAATAAAGATTAAATACTATTTAATTTTAAATTAAAATAAAGAATACTTATATATAGTAAATTTAAAAGTAAACTACGTACACGTCATCAATCAGCTGATCGGGCACGGTTGTCAATGTGATGCTAAAATCCTTGCATCAAGGGAAAGTGGTAGTGCAACTACAGGGCGATAGATGGCGTTTACATGAATAATACCAAAATGTCAAAAGTCTGAGTTTTTATAACCTATATGATGCACCGCCAAAAGTATGTTTTTAGCCATTTTTAAAGACATTTTCTGATATAAACCCAAAAATTTTGCCATCTAAAGTCAGTCTCTGGTATATATATTATTATTTCAGGTATCCAACATATATTTTGATAAATATTCTAATATATAATTAATAATAATCCTATTTACCTCTCTAACAGCTGTTAAAGGTAACAAAGGTCCATTATTATCCCGTTCTGCCTCAAAATAGCGTATTAAGGATGACACCAACTCTTGACTCCGACTATTTAAATGCTTCGGCATTTTAAATATAGGAAACACAAAAAAACGATACATAACAAACACAAAAACGGCAATGAAAACTTAAACGATATAAAATAACACAAACAACAAACAAAATAAACGAAATAATACACGAATTAAATGAAATATTCAAAAACACAACTGACAGCTTCGAAATTCTAAAACGTCAAATTCTTTTTTATGTGTCATTTAAAAATTTGAATGTAAACATGACAACATCACAATTGTTGCCAACTTAATTTGGTTAAAATGCATTCAAATATTCAATTACAGACTCCGATTTAGTCATTTAGTGTTGGTACCAATGCGTAAAATTTTTGTTTTATTGATGACGTGTACGTAGTTTACTTTTAAATTTACTATACCTACCTATTTAATAAATAGGTATATAAGTATATTTGATTTTAATTTAAACTTCGAAGTTTACGAGTCTTTAAAGCCAAGACGCAAACCTTTACCCAATATCACAACCGGTATGGTTTGGGCGAATTAAGCTTAATTTTCATGTATCCGTTTGTCTGTTATTCAATAAAATCGTCCGATAAGAAATGTTCTAATTTTCATGCATCTGTTTTTTAATGACGTTTAACGGGTTGACTTGAGGACAAATAGAAATTAAGTGTCAGTATATTCACCTTACTAAATTTACCTAATTCTTAATTGTCATAGTTACAATTACGTCAACAATTGAAACTTTTAGCTGTCTAATAAATTTAAAGGTAGGTAAATATACCATATAAAAAGAATATACTAGCCTTAATGTACATTAAAATGTATAGTTTAAAAAAAAACATGTCCTTTTAGTTCTAGTTTAAATTTTTTTTTGTTTGTCTTTTCTTTTTTTCCGTTATTCTTATTAAATAAAACCATAACCGTAGAACATTATTCACATAACGAACGTAATATTCCCGTTCTACAATCTTATTAAAAAAATATAAAAAGATTTGAAAATAAAGTCAACGTCAAAAACAGATGTGTAGTGACGGATGAGTTAAAATTATTTAACCTCTCTCTGTCAGACGTACGAAGTTGAAACTTGAGGGACCGATAAAATGTCATAATTTTCCAATTATAATTGGACCAATAAGAGCGCTCCCGGATAAACGGACAAACGGATACATGAAAATTAAGCTTTAAGCTTAATTTTCATGTATCCGTATAAATTTATTAGACAGCTAACTGTTAAAGTTACAATTGTTGACATAATTGTAACCATGACAATTAAGCATTAGGTAAATTTAGTAAAGTGAATATACTGACACTTAATTTCTATTTGTCGTCAAATGAATCCGTTAAACGTCAGAACATTTCTTATCGGACGATTTTATTGAATAACGGACAAACGGATAACGGACAAACGGATACATGAAAATTAAGCTTTAGCCTTTCGTCTGTTTAGTCGCTCCTGTCAAATGGACCTCAAGGACATGCGCAATAGTAAAATCGCGACCATATTTTCGTATTGCGCATGCGATTTTGGTATGTCCCTGACGTCCATTTGACAGTCCAAATCATGGAGCCTACACAAGGATTCCAAACTTAATGTATACAAATAGCATTCTAAAATAGGAGGTCGCTGGTGGTCCTTTTATTGTTAGGTTTGTACCGAAACATCACTAAAACAGCAGTAACCGTCGACAATCAGCGCCGCTGGTGGTGAAAAAAGAAAACCTAATTTTTGCGATTTTGCAGGTTTTGTTCATTCCCCCTATTAAGGTTTGACTCCTTGTGTAGGCTCCATGATCCAAATACTTGGCCTAAGGCAACTATAGTTTATAAACTATGGCTGATTTTCAAATTTTACATTTACATAATTTACATTAATTTTACATAAGTTTGCTTTGCTGTTCTGTTGTGGTGTGATTAATTTTGAATTTTCAAAAGTGTACTTCAATATAATATAATACACATATATTATATAATCACTGACTGAAGTTAGCAACAGGTTTTTAGTCACAGGCTGTTAGTTTTCAAATGTCATACAATCATAAATAAAGTGCCCTTGTAAAATATTACTAAATGTAAAAATTATTTTATTATCTCAATACAAAAATACGAAAGTATTAAATAGTTTCTCAATGCCAATATTTGAAGAGTTTATATGAGCATTGTAATGACCTTTTAATTTCGTCGGTATTAAACTAGATTTATTTTAAGTTTGGGTGGGGACTCCACTGTGGAGTGCCAATAAAATATTTTCTTTACTTTTACTGTAAAAAACTGCTTCTATATAGGATTAAACAGTCCATTTTCAAGAGATACATTTTGATTTACACACACAATTTTAACATTTGATATTTTCAAGTTGGTAACTATTTGTTGTAGAAAAAGAATAGGTAGTATGCAATTCGTTTATAAACTTTTCTAGACACTCATTTAATTAAGCACTCACTCGTAAGCTTGCTTGTACCTAAATTTAATTTGTGTCTAAAATGGCATTTATCAAACTTGATACATAATATACTATTATTTTACCTCTTTATACATAAAACTTGCCATTTTTGTGTACTAAAAACTAGTACTATTTGAAAATAAATTCTGGCAACACTGCACACAGCTAACGAAAATTTATATGAATGAGTGGGAACAAAATATTTTACCTATAAATGTAATTGGTGTGCCCATAATAAGTGTCAACATTTTCCCCTGTGTAAGACCAAACTTTTATAGAGGCATCATTGGAAACACTAATAAAGTAATTCAACTCTGGTAAATCCAAAATCCCTCTAACACAATCTGAATGTCCTATCAAAAAATTGATATTTTGTCCTGTAGGTGTCCAAACTCCTACAGTTTTATCAGCTGAAGCTGTCAATACTCTACCATCACTAATTTGTATGGCTGACCAAATGGCAGCATTGTGACCATTAAATGTAACTGTGGATTTATTAATTGATGATATAATCCAATATTTAGCCGAACTATCCCATGAACCACTAAAGAAAGTTCCAGTTTCGTTGCCTTTTGATAAACAACTGACTATAATAAATTGGTTAACAGTTAAATAATTAATGAATTGTGTTTATTAAATACCTGTTCCTGTATGCTCTTTAAGTGTATAGGTAGCAAAAGGCTCTGATGGTTTATAAATAAGAATAATGTTATCATATCCACCTGTAACAATCAGCCCGTCAGGAAAATTAGGCACAGGATCTAGGTACAAAACAGCTCCCACAAAATTCTTTTGTTCTCTATAGGTCATCACTTCATTATACGATCCGTTTAAACTAAAAATGTACGTTAATTTACGTGTATTTTAAATTATCGGCACCTACCTATTCGGTCTCCATAATTTTGCTGTTTTATCCCTTGAACCACTTATAATGTCATTATTGGGGGTAACTTTAACAGAACGAACATCCAGGGAGTGCCCGTAGAGGGTAGCGCTTAATTTAAACTCTTTACTCATTTTTTTCTTATTTCCTTCTAAAGTGACAAGCAAGTTTGGTTATTTTCATAACTGTCAATCTTTTCCCCGCCCCTAATTTTATAATTAGATTGCGACGTTGACTGAATGCGCTTTGCTTAGCAAGTTTAGCGAAATTTTCGGCGCCAAAAAGTTCTCAACTATTAAAATCATTTTTAGTGATTATTTAAGTAAACAGATTGATAAATAATCTAGGAATGGAAAAAATTGGTAAGAAAAACTTTTGGTAACCATCGATTTCCCCACCCTTTTTTAAAGCGGGAAATTTAAACCAACAATTTTAAACTAACAAAAATGCGTATATTTATTTAGTTCGGAGCTGTCGTAAATTTTTTATTGTTTGAAAAAATTATCGATAGTAACTGATTGATAGTTTTCCCATTTCTAAATTAACCTCTTCCCCAAAGATGAATTTAAAATTCCAATTATTATTTAATGGATTAAAAAAAACCAAGCTGGGAGTTTTAAGTAAATATGATTTAAAAATCAAAGGCTTAAGCCTTATTAATTAATACAAAATAATTAATGGTTTTTATTTTATTTCATAATCACCACATACCTATTTAGAAAATAAATAATTATATAAAGAACACTTGGTTCCACTTAACCCAGATTAATGTTTGTTTTATAAACAAAGGAGAAATAAATCAACACAATTTATATAATATTATTTTATTAAATCATGACTGTAAAACAATTAAAAACTCTTAAACTCAAAAAAACTCAATTAGTAATCATCTCCTCTTGAAACCACTTCTTTGCATGTTGGACGTAACATGATGGTGTGTTCAAACTGAGCAGTGTAACATCCCTTGATGTCACATAGCGGCGGGTAATCGTCAACAATGCCTTTGTCGCAAAGGTCTTTTAACGCCATTTGATATTTGGTGGCCCCTGCTCTGTCCAACCAACGTTTGCAGAAAGCCAGGGTGCCAAAGTTCTTGTTTATAACATTCAGCAGAGATTTGGAAGATTGTAAACTAAAAAAATAGCATTTAGTGGAAAATAGTAATAAGAGATTAAGAGTTGATGATTACCGTAGAGGGACATAGGGTACATCAAAATTTTTCATGTAATGGGAGCAATCCATGTCATCATGCACAATACCCCTACCAGTAGAACCAAAAGTTTCGATGGCGTAGAATTCGTTTTCTTCCATGACAGTGGCTTCACCACCTTTTACAATTGGCACAGTCTTACCAGCATGAATTCCTTAAAAATATTTGTTAGGAAATATTTTTAAGGGCATAGAATAAATAATATTTCTTACTGTATGGTGAAATTGAATGCCCATTTAGATTCCTAATAGACTTAATAGGGTAAGTCTTTCCATCCAACTCAATCTCATAGGACTCCATGACCTCCTGAATGGCAGCTCCAATTTCACATAGCTGCACATCAATACCAGCAGTCCTAATACCTGTGTTAGTTGCATCTCTTACAGCCTCCACCAATTTGTCATATTTCGGATTGAAAGTGTGTGTGAATGCACAGTCAATGATCCTACCATTGATGTGAGTTCCAAAGTCAATTTTAACAACATCGTCATACTCCAAAACAGTCTTATCACCTGCATTTGGTGTGTAATGAGCAGCACAATGATTTCTAGAGCAACCAGTTGGAAAGGCTAAGCCAGCTTTCAAGCCATTTTCCGCAATAAGTTTCCTGGCTGTATTTTCAAGTTCTTCACAGATTTGTATCATTGTCATACCTGGTTTGATCCATTTTTGGATGTGTTGTCTTGTCTATAAATAGTTTTTGATTATTTACGAAATTGCATGGTATAAATATATTTGCCTTACCTGACGGTGAGCTTCTGCAGCTAACCTAACTTCATTGTAAATGTCATTGTGCATTCTGTCTAATGCACGTTTTTCCTCTGATGAAAATCTATCCTTAGCAGTACGGTCATCTTTAAGAGCAGGGTACTCCATTATCTCCCCTTCAGGGAAAACCTGATCAGGAAAGAGGTCCACAATTGGCACCGAAGGTGGGTTGGTTTGAGTAGGTTTTCCCCCCTTTTTGCGGTTCCTTTTCTTCTTTTTCTTTTCATTGTCTTTGCCTTCTTCTGCACCTTCCTCTGCTTGATCGCCGTTTTCAGCCGCAGCCTCGGTTACCTCCTTGTTTTCCGCATTATCTTCACCTGATTTTAAACACACAAATTAACACTTTTCCAAGACGAAAACACGTGATTTTTACTTACCGGCCTTTTTCTTCTTCTTCTTCTTTTTCTTCTTCTTGGCGGCCTCTGTGTTTTCTCCGCCTTCGCCGTTTACTTCAACCTCAACTTCTTCGTCATTTTCCTCGTCAACTTTTGTGTCGGTTTTTAGAGCGGCCATTTTTCTAAAATGTGCACGGTATTTTTCAAGGCTGCACTTACCCAACTGCTCATGCGCAAGGAGAAAACCCGCTAAACTTTAAATATTTAAAAAAATGCCTTTTTGTATTAATTAAAATAATTATTATAAATGAACCTTCTTATTAATATTATTTTTCTATGGTTTCTTGCCTTGTTTAGGATTTCCTGTCAATGTTTCTTATCAGGTTGACAGCATAGAAAAAAAAACAGCTAATTTAACCTTTATAATCTGTGATTTAAAGTAAAATACCTATAACTACTTACCTCAGCTTAAAAAATACTTCTTGTTGATTTATATTATTATATTGTAAACCCTTTTTGCCAATATATTTTATATAAAGTTTATATACATATATATACTATATAACTATAACTATAGTTTATAGATTTTATCGAGGGGTAAACCATGAGAAGTGTCTACAGAGCATACCTACGGCACAAAGGCTTTCGATCCCGCATATGCGCTTTGGTTAATAGCTGATCTACTGTCAGAACTCAAAAAGTTTTGTTATCATCCTGGTGGGTATTTTGTTTGTTATCATTGCGCTATTTTACCTATAATTTAAATAAATATAAATTATTTAATGTTCAAAATTTATAAAATGTATCTACCCTTACATATATTATATCTCTATTGACCAATGGGGCGGGGGGGGCCAATGGGGCGGGGTCGGTTGGGTTGTGTTGTTGAGTTTGGGTTGGTTTTGCTTGATTTTGCTCACTTTTGCCCATTTTAGTTGATTAACAGTAGATCAGCTGATAAACCAAAGCGCATGTGCGGGATCGAAAGCCTTTGTGCCGTATGCTCTGTAGACTCTAGTTAAACCATGGTGCACTTTAAAATCTTAGAGACCAACGGTCAATGTTAGTGGACGTTGTGTTGTGATTTTTTTCCTTATCAGTCGTTATCAATAAGGAAAACTTGCTAAAGTGCTAAACAATAAGAAATTTCTCTTAGCGACGCGTTATTAATACAATTGTTATCCTTAGCCGTTAATTCGTACCCAATTTTTAATTTTAAAAAATCAGTGGTTTACCCCTCGGATTTTATATTTATTTAAAATTACATTTCTTGATTTGGACTTTGACACATTTATAAATTATAATTATAATTAGGGGTGAGTGGGGAGGGTCTGGACCAGGGTGGAAGAATTCCACCCTGGTCTGGACACTGGGAGATAATGGACCATAGAAAAAGGATATAATGGACAATGGACAAATTTCGCGGTTCCAGTAAAAATTTCAGGTTGGTTCTACTATTACAGATCGTCAAGTTGGTAAGGTATCAAATAGTGGTAGTGAAATAAGTTTTAGTTTAGCTGTAGAAGAGGTAAGTGGAAAAGTTTATTTATTTTTTTTTTGTAAATAAAGCATGGAACTTTTGTTATATCCTTACTTTATTCCGTTGCTATATTTTGAAATTATAAACATTTTTTTGTTTCACATCATGTAGGGAGAGTTTGGACACACTGTCTAGAGCATCGTTTCTTAACCTCGGGTCACGACCCAAATTTGGGTCGCGGGCCATATCGAGATGGGTCGCGGAACTTGCGGGACTTTTTGAAAAAGCGCGCCGTAATCACTGCATCCTTAATTTAAATTAAGAAAATGTAGAAAATTGATGATTTTATATTTTATCGGGTCGCAAGCTTCTAATATTTATGAATTGTGGGTCGCCAGCCAAAAAGGTTAAGACCCGCTGGTCTAGAGTCTTCCTCTATTGTCCAAACATCATCCCGGCACTTCGTTAGCAGAATATTGTAAAAATTAAACCAAGGATGTACAATCAAATTCCTTAAAAGGCAGTTTCAATCATAAAGATTTAAAGAAAGTTTCTTCTTTAAGAAACAGATGAAGATGAAGCCTTGGTGGATTTTAAGGACGTGGTATTGGTTCTTCCCCCCCACTGACGGAGTTCGATTCCATAAAATGATTTATTACTTTAATTTGTTACAATTTAGTATTGAATAAGTTTTGCTCTGATTTTTTCAATAAAATTCCTAAATTTATAATATTTTTATAGTGTCCAAATGCGTACGTTGTCCAGAATCTCCCCGTATATGGGGTGACTTTGGACAGATGACCGAAAATTTTCAAAAATTCGTAGCAAACCCATCTTACGGTTTAAAGTGCACATATTTATCTCTTTGCGTTTTTAGAAGTCAACACTATTACCTGAAACTTTGAAATTAGAAATAGGTAATTACATTTTTTAGAGACCCAGGCAAAAAAATCTAAAAATTGTCCAATGTCTACTAGGGTGCTTCATTTTAGAGCGACATTTTTTTTTTCAATGTCCCACCTGAAAATCTTGTAACCGGTCAGAAAACAAAAATTTTGAGGTATTACAAAGCTCTTAATCTTTATTTTAAGCCGTTGCTATTCAATTTTCAAATATTTTCCTTTAAAAACCATTAAAAAACAATGATTTATTCTTTTCTCCTTCCGCTTGTACAGTAAGAATATTTTTTTCGAATTTCGGTTCTAAAATCTTCATAGAGGATGAAATTATCTTCAAAAATGTCTATTTAAGCAAGTCTGTAAGTTGAATAGGTTCTTCACAAATTGCCGTTCTACTCGAAAATCATCTAAAATAGTAGTAAATCGTAACTGGAGACTAAACTATTTATTGTAGATAAAAAACGTAAATGACAATTTTGTAGGGAATTTTGTGCCCTACAAATTTGTTAAGAAATATTTTTCTGTATCACTTATAGTTTAGCTTGTACAGCCACCCAAAGTGTCAAATTCTTAAAAATTCAGTTTCTGACTGTAATAACTATACTATTAGAGTTACGTGAAAGAGTGGCTGTACAAGCTAAACTATAAGTGATACAGAAAAATATTTTTTGACAAATTTGTAGAGCACAATAATCCCTACAAAATTGTTATTTACGTTTTTTATCTACAATCAATACTTTAGTCTCCAAATACGATTTACTGCTATTGTAGAAGATTTTCGAGTAGAACAGCAATTTGTGAAGAACATATTCAACTTACAGACTTGCTTAAATAGACATTTTTGAAGATAATTTCATCATGTATAAAGATTTTAGAACCGAAATTCGAAAAAAATATTCTTACTGTGCGAGCGGAGGGAGAAAAGAATAAAACATTGTTTTTTAATGGTTTTTAAAGGGAAATATTTAAAAATTGAATAGCAACGGCTTAAAATAAAGATTAAGAGCTTTGTAATAGCTCAAAATTTTTGTTTTCTGACCGGTTATAAGATTTTCAGGTGGGACATTGAAAAAAAAAATGTCGCTCTAAAATGAAGCACCCTAATGTCTACCCACTCTCCCCTAGTTGGTAACTAATTTAGAAATTTTAATAATATTATGGTAATTGGTATTTCTGGCAGAAATTTTCTGCAACCAATAATTTTCAATTCTTTTTCTGTTTTAAATATTTTGAAATTTCATTCTGACAATTTGTGAATCAAGAATTTACAATTCTGTAAACTATTCAATATGCACAGTGGGCCTGAACCAAAAAAGGTTGCATGGAAATGACACAAAAATCGTGCTTCGGATCATTAAGGGAGTTGAGATCGAGTGAAAACAAAATCGCATCAGATCCGCAATGAATATAACAGCCAATTGTTTGTGGCGTTCATATTGGTCCAGAAAAACTCAAACAACGTAAATAATAAAAAGAAAAAAACAATTTTAAGGTTTACTATAGATAGAGATAGAGATAGATAGCTATCTCCAATAATTAACAAAAAGAAAAAGATGGTGTAATTGGAGACCTCTGGAAAAGAAAGTGATAAGCCAAAATTTGGCAAAATCGACAGTGGACTAGTGGTTAGTGCTGCTGACTGCAAGCCGGAGGTCGTGGGTTCGAATCCCACCAGGGGTATGGCTGTTTATTTGTGTTTGTCCTATTGTGTAATAGTCCTTCGGAGGGGACTTTAAGCCCGCGGTCCGTTCCTACCCTTAACCCGCTCAAGCCATTCAGTTGGCTTCTGGGACTTCTTAGGAAGTAAGGGTGGAACTAAAAGAGCACTTTTGTATATAAACTTTTTTGTATATAAATACCATAGCCTCGAATTGACCAAATATTATAACTTAAATTTTAATTAAAAGTTAATAAAATTACTTTTACAGTTTAAGTACCTACAGTAAAGTCGCGACTATGGTATTTTAGACATTTAATTTTTGTAAAATTCCCTTTTCCCCCCAAAGGCCTTCAATTTTAGCTTTAAATTAAAATAATCCATCATTTTGTATAATGCCATTAAGACGTGAACATATCTATATCTAATTAATTACTTAACATTTCAATAAAATGGGTACCTATTTTATTTATTCAGAAAACTATAGTTTACAGTTAGTTAATTTTGCAGCTATTGCAAATTAAAAGATGCAAATCATGAACCCTGGTTTTATAGTTTTAATTAAAACTATAAAACCAGGGTTCATGATTTGCATCTTTTAATTTGCAATAGCTGCAAAATTTTTAAATATGTAGACAAATAACTTTTTCCTTCTTAGTTAAAATAAAAACCTATGGTTTCTTAATTTTTTCTAACGAGAGCTAGAAGAGTACCTAGAAAAATACCCTAATTAAACTAAAACATTGTTATTGTAATAGTAAGTTTTTTTTTAAATATGTTAAGCTTTTCTTAAGTCGGTTAAAAATTTTTAATTTGCACATAGAAATTATTGCTAAACCATCGACGATATTTTAATTTGATTGTTTTGTTTGTTTTTAATAAATGGATAACGCGTATCGAAAAGGAACCAAGCGCCAAAAATTTTTTCTGGGCTTAGTAAAATTATTTGTAAAATAACTCGTATTTAATGATGCTTAAATTTAAAGGTTAATCTTCATTTGGAACTGAATAGAAAAGAATTTGGAGGTTTTATAAAATATAGTTTGAAAATATTAATGTGTGTGAGAGAGAAAGAGAGAGGGAGAGAGAATCGACCGAGCGCACGTCTCTCGGAACCGCGCGCCGCGGCATAGCTACGCGTAGGCTTGGATCTGTAGCGACGATTTCACATGCTTTTCTTTACAAAAAAATTCATAACTTCTACAGTTTTTGAGTCCCCCAAAAATAAGTAGTCAAAATTTGCGGAAAATGTATGATTTTTTTTTTAATTTGAGGTGGCGTTTTTTGGGAGTTTACATTTTTTTTTGGGAATTTTTGAACAAAATTTTTTTATTTTTATTTTACCTTAAAGAGCGTCAAAAAATATGTTTATATGATTTTTTCGAAATTTTTTATCTTTCGGGTTTTTAAATAATCGAAATATAAGCCCAACTAACAATTTAAGTTTTATAGAAACTCTTAGAACGTTTACAGAACATATTTTATAAAATATTAGCTGTTCTATAAACACTTTCACAATGTTCTTACAGCTCTTGTAAGCATGGAATTGGCGCAGATTATAAAACAAATCGGCTGTAAGACATGCTCTATAAATGTTGTTTGTTGCTATAATAAAACAGTTCTTAGAACATTTATAAATGTCAAATAAAAATAGAACGTTTATAAAACTGTTTTATAACAGCTCTGTTACTTGGATGAAAAGAGACAGTTAAAGGACTTTTTTAGAGCTGTTATAAAAATGTTTTGTAAATGTTTTATAAAGCTCGTATTTTAAGCTATTTTGCTACGAGCGCCAATAGTTACAGGATAAAAAAGTTCTTTTAACATTCCTATTGACATAAAATTGTTTTTTAATATGCAATTAGTCTCTTTAGTTGTTGTTTAGAGATGCCAAAACCTGTTAACATTGTAGCAAAAATAAAATGACAAATGGCTGATACGGTATTAAAAGTAATAAAAAGAATGAGTAAAAAAATCACCTATGGAGCAGATGTTGCTGCGAAATTAAATGTACTGTTAAGTATATGGTACAATCCTAACAAAATTTTAATGCGCCTCTCGAATTATGATAATTAAGGACATCGAAAATATAATTTAATTAATAAACAAAACAAAAAAATGATATATTTTTGGTAAATATTGTATTACGACTTTCTACATTATAAACTGACAGTCCAGCATACTCATCTTTTACGAGACACGAAAAAATATAATTTAAAAATGTTGGTTGAGACCTGCATTCATATGGCTGTCAGTTTAAAGGCTCCCAAAATGGCCACTTTCTTATACGATCCTTATGAATCAGAATTGTCCGAATCAGGACAATTATGCTCTGTAAGTAGCTGTTATAAAAATCAAACCGGATTTCTCTAGGCAGAGGCGTACTCCGTTTGCCATGGAATATTATCAGTGGTAAGGGGCCATCCAAAAATTACGTCACACGTTAAGGGGGGGGGCAACGAAAAGTGACACTGTGTGACAAGGGGCAGGGGGGGGTCAAAAGCTGTGTGACGTCACATGTTAAAATCTAAAGTACCAAAATGCCGAAAGTTATATGCAAACCAAAAACTTAAAAATATTACTAACGATCTATATTTTATTTAAATTTAAAAACATGTTTTATTTAATTACTTCTAAATATGAAATTAAAAAAAAAGTGACATCACAACAGGGGGGAGGGGGTTTCACAAGTGTGACCTCCTGTGATAGGGGCGGGGGGGTCAAAAAACCACAAAATTTGTGTGACGTAATTTATGGGGCCCCTAAAGGAGATGGGCGATTTGTGCATACCTGCAAAGACTGCAAAATACCTACATAAAAAAATAGAAAATTTGGCACGTGTGATCGTTTGAAATATTCGAATAAAAAAAGAAAAAACTAAGAATTTACCTAAATAAACAAACCGCAAAATGTCATAAAATAATGGGTATCTAAATTCAATATGTTACTACGAAATTCGCAAAATTTGAAATTAAGTCAATATTCCCGCCCCCCAGATTTTAAATTTTGCGAATGGCAAAAATCTTGAAGACAAGCTTCATGTCATTTGTCATATTTAAACTCAACCAATAGGATCGTTATTCGCTTTTCGCAATTCACGATTCGCAAGTATATGAACTAAGCTTAAGAGCACAGGGTTTTGGTTTCTTGTAAAGTGTATAAATATATGTCGCTTTTTCCCTTTGTTGGCTTATAAGCAGATAGCACACAACGTCTTGAAGATGTCTTTTGTATGTCTGTATTATGCCTGAACGTCTGAAGATCTAAAAAAGACGTCTAAAAGATGTCTTTTGATAGACGTCTTAAAGATATCTTCATTTAATGTCCTAAAGACATCTTATAAACGCCTGATAACGCCGCTTATTATTTTTTTTTCATTTTTTTGGCAAAATATCAACCACTTAAGACAGCAAACAAAGTCTTGAAGATCTAAAGGTCTAAAAAAGACGTCTGAAAGACGTCTTTTGATAGACGTCTTAAAGATATCTTTATTTAATGTTCTCAAGACATCTTATAAATGCCTGACCGCGGTTTTTTTTTATTTTTTTTGATAAAATAGTAAATGTTGACAAATCAAAATCAAAATTATATCCCATAATCAGCGTCTTCATTGTAATAGAAATAACTTTAATGTAGGTAGGATTTTGAGTTTTGACAACGATTATGGGTAGGGTAACTGAATAAATATATATCTGACATTTTTGTTGATTGGTTATTTTTCCTACAATTAATAATATCCATTTTATAATAAACCATTATAAACTAACATGTTTTTTAAAAATTAAGTATTAAGACAAAATAACCTTAAAATAACCCAACGAACGTTTTTAAATCAAATTACCCGCACATTTCCCATAATGCAATGAAATCATAAGTCACGCTATGAGATCCTTATGCTTTCCTTTTCTATTTCACCATGGCGCTTGCAAGCGCTGATATGTCTGCCTCTTTTCAATTCTTAAATAACTCGTACCCACAATCCAATGTGGATTGTGCTCGTAGTACGAGCATGATACTAGTAGTACGAGCCTTGTACTAACTATAAATGCAGATTTCAAACATCAGACGCCATTTTTGCCGCTTACGTCAAATTTGGTTAAATAGCTAATCGTGGCGGTTTTTCGTTCTCGTTCGACGTTTAACTTAAGTGACAAGTAAAAGCAGTGTGCAGTGTTGTAACAACACTGTTTTTGGATTGTTTTTGTGAATTTGCTGTGGTTTAATATACTCAAGAGGGAAAATTATTTAGGTAATTTTAAAAATTTTTCTTGTGTGCTTAAAATGAAGCGTACATCTCTCAATAAATATTATATGCGTGCAAAGAGGGCCGCCAATTTAAAAAGACCCTCACTAGAAGATATAGAAAAGCATGTTTTACATTCTCCCGCCATAGTGTCTAACGGTGAGTGCTGCACTTTCACTATACCTAGTGACTCGCCGTCTGATGTTGAGCAGCGAGTTGAGCAGGATTCTTCCAACATTTTTATTCCAAATATCGAAGGAACCTCGAAAGGTCTAGGAAAAGACACCAAAGAGGTGGAAGTTGCCATACAGGCTTGGTTAATAAGGGCTTCAGACAGAAGGCTTCTTCTTGCCAAGAAGTCTTGACTCGATTTAGGCAGAAATAAATATGTAATAATTTAATTTTTGTTTTATTTTAAATAGAAGTACCTATTATACGTTATTTTTAGAAGTTAAAAAGCATTATTAGCTACATTTTAATTACTTAATAGTATTAAGTTAATACATTAGAAACTTTTTGGCGATGTAGCAATGCATAACCAAAACGTTTTCAATAGGTAGTCTTTAACATCTTAAAGACGTCTTAACGACGTTTAGCCACGACTTAATAATGCCGTTAAAAAGACATCTTAAAGACGGTGTGTTTTGTAACATTAGATATCTTAAAGACGTCTTAAAGATGACTTACGTCGTAAACTGGACGTCTTAAAGATGTCATGAACGTCCGAGTCCGACATCTTTAAGATATCTTTAAGATGTCTCTGTGCTATCTGGGTAAAAACCAAAATTTTAAGTATGTTTTTCTATTATTGTGTTACTGTTACATATTTTTAGCTCAAGTTCTTCTAATTCCAATTTAACGAACTTTGTCTTTGAAACAAAACTACGTTTGTTAAAATCGATTCAATGTTCAGTTCAAAAAGAAATTGACATATTTTGTGGCCCATCGCTATATACTTATCTTCGAGATCCTAAAGGTATCGACAGTCGAAAAAATTAGAAATGTTTAGGTTTTGAGGCATAATATCTCGAAGTATGGAAATTCGTTTGAAATAATAAAGCAAAACCATATTAATTTTCCCTTTGTTGTTTTTATACTTTTCCTATAGGATAGATATCTTTTGATACCAAAAAAGCTGCTTCCCATTTTAACTAACCATTTATTTACCGGTTAAACTTAATAAAAAATAAACTTAAATTGAAGTTTACAATACCTAGTAACTAGTAATTTACCTAACAAAATTACTAAAAGTGATACTTTATTACCTGTGTTAACAAAATACTAGCTACCTATGGTACCTACCCTGTATAATTATTATTAATTAATTATGAAAAGCAAATATAAACTTATTTTTAACATTCAAACGTAAAACAAAATCTAATAGAAACTGTGGTATAAAAAGTAATATACAAATTAATTTAGTCCGGTCCTGTGAGCACGCGCCATATGCCTTAATTTTTTTTGAACGTGGATGTTCGCGCGTAATCTTATAGGTGGCTCTGGTGCTGTCCGTGTTATGAGATATTTATCGAACAGTTAACGGATTTTAACAGAGCAGATTTTCATTTATGTTTTATAAAAGCTTTTTATAATGATCTTATAAAACAAATGGCTCCCATAAAAGTTTTTTACAATGATCGTATAAAACAAAAGGCTCCCATAGCTAATTTATTATTGGCCTATACAAAGCAAGTTTTCCCTCCAGTTTTCCTAACCTAAAATAGTTGGTGTTTGTTTATTGTTATTCACATACCACTTGGTATGCGTTCATTAATTATAGCAAAAAGCTTCTTTTGGGATAAATGGGGAATATTATTTGATACTGCCCATGACCGAATGTCTTCTCTTAGCTTTGCATTTTTTTCTATCTCGCACAAACTGCTTGCAGAATGTTGTTCATCGCCGGGATCAGAATCTAATTCGGTAATCCAATTTTCTATTTCAGCTTCCCGGTCAACATCGTTCAGTGCTATTGTCTGATGAGAAACGCAATTAATTATATGGTCATTTGGATTGCTAATCTCCAAGGTCTCTGAATGATTGTTAGAGCCATTAGTGCTTTCTATCTGTGGGTCACTTACGATTTCATGATATTTACTTTTAAGTTTTCTGTAAAATGTACCACTTCTTTTAATTTTTTTCCAGCTACTATGCGACATTTTAATTGTACAGGCAAAATGCAAACAAAAATATCATTAGACAAAATGAAAATGGAGGCTATTTTATAATAGTTTTATAATTATTGTTGTGGTAACATTTTAATGTTAAAAGACCTCCTTATGCAACATATTTGTTTTTTAACTGTTTTTTGTAAAACTATAAAAAAACAATTTTATAATTACTCCATTTTATACCAATTTGCTGCAGAAAGCAAATCACTTTTATTAATAACAATTAGAAAACTATTTTATTATTAGGAAATTTGTTCGTAACAAAACAGTTTTATTATTGCTTTTATGGCGATAAATTAATCCAAAAAAGCACCCTTAAAGAATGCCTTTAAAGCAAAGTATCATTCAGAGCTAATATGCTCTATAAAAAGTATTTTATAAACGTTTATAAAATAGCTCTATAACAGAGCTGCAAGCTCTCAGAAAACTTAAATCGTTTTTTTGATTTAAATCGTTTTAATGACTTAAGTCATTTGGTAATAAGTCATTTCTTTAAAACTGACTTAAGACTTAAAATTTAAGTAATTTTCAAAATGATTTGTGACTTAAATATTTTTTTCAAAATAGAAAAAACTTAAGTCATTTATAAAAGGCTTAAATCAGTACATACGATTTAAGTCAGATAGAAACTATTTAAGTCAAAAAAAGATTTAAGTCTTTTTAGAAAATATTTAAGTCAAATTTTTCATATATTTTTTTATAAATTTTTAACAGCGGCATTTTCTTTTGAACTGCCAGGGGTTCACGCGGCAGCAGATCAAAAACTCCTTTAATTTCCTACCTACAATTGCTACCGCTAGTGGATAAAAAAACCGCCGCGGTAAAGTTAGCTTTTTGGAACCGTTTGACGGCTACATTAAAAAATGTCCTGTCTAAAATGAATTAAAAAAAGTGGGGATTTATAATTTTGTTATTTTGTTTGCTAACATTCGTCATGTTCGTGCGTAGTTATGTTAAAATCGTTGTATTGACTTAAGGGTAATTATTTTGATTTAAATCACAATTTTTGATTCAAGTCATTTTATTGACTTAACTCTTAGATCACGATTTAAATAAAAAATAAAGACTTAAGTCATAAAAACGACTTACTAAAGGAATTAAGTCATAAGATGACTTAAATCACTATATTGATTTAAGAATTTGCGAAAATGACTTGACTTGAAAGAAAATGATTTAATTCAAAGACTTAATACTTAAATCATTTGAACTTTATCTTAGAATTGACTTAAGATTTAAATCATTTTGATTTTAGAATTGACTTAAGACTTAAGATTTAAGTCTTTTTAAAACTGACTTGTTGCAGCTCTGCTCTATAACTTATTTTATAATTATTTTATAATTTTGCTGTAAAAACGTTCTCAAAACAATTTTAGTGACAGAATAGTTGAGCGCAACAAATTTATCACGAAATAATACTTTATAAAACATAAAAGTTTCTATGAAGCGTCAATAAAACAATTATAAAATATATTAGTTCGCTAACGATGTCGAATTGCTAGTTGGGAGAGAAGTGAATTTTTTTTTTGTTTATTATGTAAAACCAAAAAAATGCATAAAAGAGGTTGAAATTTTAGATTTCTCCATTACTTTAGTTCGTCTACAGGGGTCTTGACACTTGAAGTGGTAGGACGCGTCAAAATAGATCCCTCCTAAGTAGCGTATACGATACAAACGTAGTAAAGTACGAAACTAAGTATCCGGAAATATAAATAAATAAATAAATAAATAAATAAATAAATAAATAAATAAATAAATAAATAAATAAATAAATAAATAAATAAATAAATAAATAAATAAATAAATAAATAAATAAATAAATAAATAAATAAATAAATAAATAAATAAATAAATAAATAAATAAATAAATAAATAAATAAATAAATAAATAAATAAATAAATAAATAAATAAATAAATAAATAAATAAATAAATAAACAAGTGCGAAAAGTGCAACAAGTGCGAAAAGTGCGGGATAACGCCGTAAAAGTGTGCAAGTGAATAAGTAATTAAGGGTAGGCCACAACGATAAGCCAACCGGCCCACCTGGATCAGAGATTTGCCACAATCAAAGCGTGCCAAAAACCTGCAGGCGAGGTCAAGGAACAACGGACAGCCCGTGAAAGACAAAGCATCAGGATTATAGCCTAATAATCAAGCTAAGTAATTTTTCTAATTGCATGTCTTATCGTATAATCGTTAAATGTTTATATAAGCATTTCGCAATGTTGCCAAAAATGTCATCTGGCCTCAGAAATCAAACAGGTCCCTACACTGAGAAAAGTAAACTATTTCAAGTTTTAATTAAATGAACAGTTTTTGGTATATTCAATACGACCAATGCGCATAATTGTTTATTTAAAAGTCGAACGATACCTACAGTCTTAAAATAAAACTCGTACAGTTGTTAATATACATTTTTACTACCACAAAAATGTACAAAGACTTCAATAAAGCCAATCAGACAGTAAAATAGGAAAAATGATTGGTTTTCTAAGAATTCTTTTTATTTGTCTGAAAAACTAAATTTTAAAAAATAATAAGATAATGTAGTGTATAACTCAGCGAATTCCTTCGTTTGTTGAACTTAGAAATTAGGTATTTTGTAAGTGTATTAAACATAAGGCAATGAACTGCAAATATTGTATATTTGGCAGTTCATTCCCACTACTTTATTAATTGGTTAGTTAATAATTAGGAATAGCTTTGAACAGTCTATATTATGTAGCCCGGGTACAAAGACACAAAAATAAATTATAGATACTAAAAGTGAACAAGTCCTTTTATTTGAAAAGCCAACATTTCAATAAATTTCCGTAAGTGTTAAACAAACAACCTCATTTTCTCATAGTAGACAAATCATAAACAAACATTGAAAAAGGCGTAAGAGTAAATAAACCAAATCAAGCAAGAAGACAAAAATTTATATTATAAATAAGTGTTGTGTGTGAATAGGTAATATTGTATATGCATTTAAGATTACAGCCATAAATCAAAGCCAAATAAACATAAGCACAAGAACATCACAGAAGATAAGAAGAACAACCATCTCAATAGCCAATGCAGGCCATATGGCCGCATTCCATTACATACACTACAGGGTATTTATATTAACTTGATTAATCAGTTGCAGCGTTGCCAACCGTACCATAATTATGGAAATGTACCATAATTTTACTATCTTTTCCATAATTTTTTTAGGCGTACCATAATCAATAATTGTACCATAATTTTGCAACTTTGCGTTAATCCTCATTCAACGGCAAAACGATTTTTTCAGTTAATTCTTGTGATTTTAAAAATAAATGTGTAATTTATGTGTTTTTAATTTTTTATACCATTTTTGTTTTGAACAGTTGGCTATTTTGTCTGCTCAAACTGGCTAAATCTCATTTTACATACCTGGCAACCCTGCTGACCACTGAAACCTGACTGTCAGATGTCAGTCAGAGAAAAAGAATATGTCAGTGGTCAGATTCTGTCATCACAAGTTCTTTATCTATGCATATGTAATCAAGTAAAGTATTAAATTAACCATGGATACCTCTGACTCTGAGTCAGAATCAGCAAAGCGGCCTAAATATATTAAACGAACACAAAAATACAGATACGAATGGGAACAGCAACCTGATTTTGTCGGTTGGTTAAAGTCCGTGAAAGGTATTATCAAGTGAATTAATATTTTTCAATCTCAATCTTTTTCTGTTTTAGAGTGTAGCGACAGGACATATTGCAAAGCCTGTAAAACGGATTTCCTTGCTGATATAAGTGTTATTAAAAACCATTCCAAAGGCATGAAACATAAAAAACTTGTAAAAAATATTTTTTTCCTCTGTCCATTTAAAAAAAACTGCCTCTTATTTATATTTTAGAAGGTGTACCATAATTTTATGAATTGTACCATAACTTTGAGGGTTGTGTACCATAATTTGTTTTCACGTGGTTGGCAACACTGGTCAGTTGGGTCTTGACACTCGAAGTGGAAAGACGCGTCAAGATAGTTAACGATACCTCTCCTAAGTAGCGTATACGAGACAAACGTAGTAAAGTTCCAAAAACGAACCTATAAATAAATAAACAAACAAGTGCGAAAAGTGCAACAAGTGCAAAAAGTGCGAAAAGTGCGGGAGATCCCCTGTTAACGCCGTAAAAGAGTGCAATTGAATAAGTAATTAAGGCCAACCGGCCCACATGGTCAGCAGGGATTGTCACAACCAAAGCTTGCCAAAAACCTGCAGGCGAGGTCAAGAAACAACGGTCAGCCCGTGAAAGACATAGCATCAGGATTATAGCCTAATAATCAAGCTAAGTAATTTTTCTAATTGCATGTCTTATCGAATAATCGTTAAATGTTTATATACGGAATTTCGCAATGTTGCCAAATGTCATCTGGCTTCAGAAATCAAACAGGTCCCTACACAGAGAAAAGCCTAATAATCAAGCTAAGTAATTTTTCTAATTGCATGTATTATTAACAAAACCATTTTATTCCGCAAAATCTAAAGTAAAACGTATTATACATTAAAAAGTAAATTCCAAGCTCCCCAGCTGGCACCAGAAAATAAACATTCCTATTGAGACAGACAACACACAAATCATTACATAAACAAAACAGAAAAGGCAGATAAGACATTAGCTCCATCCCCAAATAAACACTCAACTAATTCCATAAAAAAACGCCAAACCATAAATAATAAATAAACACAAACCATAACAAACATGGAAATAGTAAACACGATTGATCATTCGGTGGGAATAATTAAAATTCCATCCGACGGAAATTGCTTAGTGGCCAGCTTGGCTCATCAACTAGATAATAGCCTGACTAGGTCAACAATAGGAAGTACTTACGCATTAAGACAAAGACCACTTAAGAACACACATTGAGACATATAGCCCATACTTACCGGATGCGATCCTTGACCAACCCCACCGCTACGCGCATATTAACGACTGGGAACGTAAAACAGAGGCGTGTCTAAAGGACCACGC